AAGTTCAAGTGTAGTCTTGTCTAGATTTTTTGCAGGACATTGTATTATCTTCAACAAAGTGTTTCACTTGGTTTGCAGTGTTTATAAAAAAATTTCTGCATAGTTTTATTGATATACGGCCTAAAAATTGCTATCTGATATTTTTGAACGCTGGGCCAAAATGTTAAAATCACAATGTATGTAAGTTTTTTGTTTATTTTGATCACATACTTACATTTTTTATTATAAACCACAGCTCAAAGTACCGTTTCTATTTTAGTTGTTTACAACAAAATAGACTTGTAGCTTAATACGTGTTGCAGCGTCGGGTTTCTATTGATGGATATAACTAATTTTTTGTTATTTTAACTAGTTTCATAGCATCCGATTTTAGCAACCGGTAATGTTTTTGGCCGAAAAAATTATATGCTGAATGTTTATGTAAGCGCGTTCTTAAACTACTTAAAACTTACATATGGACTAATCATTATTTGAAAGAACAGACCTTAAAAAAATTTCAAGTTTTCAGCAAAAAAGGACGGTTTTGAAGGTAGATCCTTCTTGGTACATAGAATTTTTTTGGAAAGGCTATATACCCCATCCAAAAGGGTACTAACGGTTAGCTAAAGCATTTGTTTTATGTTTTGATGATTTTGGAGATTCAGGGTTCTTAAAAACAAGCAAGTAGGACAAAAAGTACGTAATTTTATGATATTTTTTAATTTATTTATACTAGCGACATTACTATGCGGAGACATTAACCCAAACCAAGGTTCAATTTTAATCTTCTATGACAAATCCAGAAACAACGAAATTGCAAAAACAGCAGAAAATTTCTACATCTAATCTACAGAAATTTACACCGAAAAAGATCTAGTCATAAAGAACTAGCTAACACTTAAACATTTCATACAATCCAAAAAAGACGCACCAAATCGATCAATACCAACGCTTTCAAAAACGCTAATGATCAAATTTTTACAGACTTAAACTCAATAGAAACGGATTTGAAAAATTTGTTTCACCGCCGACACTAAAACTGACCCTTTAGCTTCAGTTTTAGAATCTAAATTACAAATGATTGATAAAACTATGCCCTTCAAGCGCAAAAGTTACGCGAAATGAAAACAATCAGAAACAGAATCTAAAATTGCTCAACACACAATAACTGGGACTCCTTCTACAGGCGAAACAATCCTGAGAACGAGTTCAATAAATTCTTTTCTAATATAATTAATTGCTTGCAAAAGTGCGCACCATCAAAAATTGTTTTTATTCAAAACGAGAAACCAAAAAAATTTTTTATCACCATTTTTGAGTCCAAAAACAACTGAGCGGCAGAATTGGAGCATTAAAATGACACTGGAAACTCCTAAAAGTTATCCAACGAAAAAGCACTGCTGGAAAACTCTTACGATGACATGATAACCAATAACACTGAAATGTTCATCTTAAAATATTACATATTTTTCAAACTAGGATGTTTTTTGAGAAAAAAATGGAAGCGGTGTTGATGAAGTAATCAACAGAAACCTTACAGAAACTAAACATGGTAAATAGCAATTTTCTCTCGGGTTTAAAAATGAAATCAATTGTAAAAACAAGAACTGATAAATATCTTTCGAGTAAACCACCTGGACCATCTGACAAACCAGTGTGAACTTTAAAAAATTGATGCCATGAAATTTACACGCAACCTACATTTCTTGTAAATGAATGCAAAAAAAATCGGTTCATTCATAAGTATACTCAAAAAAAGACATTCTTAGACCAATCTACAAAAAAGATGACCCAGAAAAACTGAGAATTATAGACCAATCTCATTAACAGGTGCACTCTCTAAAGACTTTTAAACAATTTACAAACAGATCCAGGAATATCTAATGATTTGTAACCTGCTCAGTAACACCCAATTTGGTTTCACTACCTCAAGTTCATAAATTGACTTAATTTTTATTGTAATGAGTTTTTCTGCAAACCAATGGATAAAAACAAATTCGTTGTCGTAACTCTATTAGATCTATCAAAAGCATTCGATTCAATTAGTCATGATTATTTAAAGTTAAACTGAAGGATCTGGGTCTTTTGACAGCCTTAAAATTGATTCATAGTTTCCTAAGCAACAGACAACAAATAATTGTAGTATACAACACTGAACCCCTTCGGATCTCAATCCAACCAGGTGTACCGCAAAGTATAATTTGCGGACCCTTTATCTTCAACATATAAATCAATGACTTAAATAGAAATCTAAATGAAAAGTGCAAAGCACTGCAAAATGGAGACAATTCACTACTTTTTTGCCATGTTAATAACGTTTATGACATATTTCAGAAATCATGCCAAAAATTTTCTCTGTATTTCACAAAAAACTCAAAACAAGCGAAACTGAACTGATCTTTTTTTCAGCAAAAAACATCCAGCTAGAACCAATCAAACAAAATTCAATATTATTTTAGATGATAACAGAACGAAAGAAAACCACGAAGAAAGTGTTTGGGGGTAATTCTTGATTATTTCCTTACATTCCAAGGTGAAGTGAAAAGTATATAAAGAAAAACGGCCCGCGGAATCACAATGTTACAATCCATAAGAAAAAACGCTGACAATTAAAAACAGATTACAGATACTGAATACTCTAGTCATAAAGCCATTTGCATTACCGAGCGGTATTTGCATTCCATTAGTAAGCGGTATAACAAAGAATCTGACTAAACCACTTGAAAAAAAAAACAAACTGGGCAATAAAGACCTGCTGCGACAGAAGGCAATTTGATCTCATCAATTTAAATTCTTCAATTTAAAAAGAGGCTTGGGTCTTGTTATATTAAATTTCTGTAAAATTTATTTAACAAGTCAAAAAATGCATGATCTGCACTGTTCTTTGTTTACTCGATCAAAGCAATGACCTTGAGCGGTCATTAAAAATGGAGCATTTTCGTAAAGTAAATGCAAGCCCCAATTGAACACGCGAGACGTGTACAGGAGGCGAGAGCTCACACTAAGATACTAGTGTGACGTTATGCATGTCAGATCGATTCGAGTTTCAATTTTTCTTTCGAGTTAAACTATTCAAATTGAGAGAAATATATGACTTTAACCCTGTACCCGGAAGGGTTGAGATTTAGTTAACCCTGGATGTAGATATTTAATCAATAAATGGATTTTTCAACCAAGGCCGTCGGCCCTAGCACTGATATTTTTCTGAATAAGCTTTGCATGAACTTGAGCACGAGTACCGAGGACAGGAAGTTTTCTTATGCAGAGAATCTTCCTCACAATAAATGGTGCGAACGCTACCTGTGTACTCAACATTATCAATGATATAACTGCTTTCGAGGAAATTTTTTTATTTAGAGCCCAGGGAACAAAAGCTCGTCTTTATAAATTTGTATGATAGACCCGTAGCCTTTGTTCTGTGCAGGTGTAAGTTTTCTCATTCTGGTTGTCTTGATCCCCAACTATCTGGCTCTCTTTACGTCTATCAACAGTATATTTTACTCTTCCATATCTAAAAATTTCCTAGGATTTTGACTGGATAATGCAATGAAGTGATTTCTAGCTGTAACCTCGTTTACTTTGCTTTGGTGTTTTCGACCTGATTACTTTCGGAGAATCATCAAAAACTCTGGATCTAATTTAAAAAAGGTGAGAGATTCCGGAAAAAAAATTCGGACATGTGTTGGAGAACAAATTATCTCCAAAAACGAAAGTTGCAATAAATCGTTTAAACAATTATGCAATAGTTTTAGGTATTCATAATCTGTGTCTCCTAAATCTTCCAAAAGTAAATACTTTGACTCAGTTGTCCATATCTGATGATGCTGATTATAGTGAAGATGTAAGAGCCAGTTAAAGCAAAATCTCCTGACTTTCCCTCACGTTAAACTTTAATTTTTCTTAGTTTCTTTATTTCCAAAGGTTTTTGTACTGGGTGAAATTTTGAAAGTGTAACTTTCGCACGGAAGTACATATCGACGAAAAAAGCTAGGTTCTAAAACGACTGGCCAGCGTCTAAACACCGCTCTATATGCTTTTAACCGTCTCTGCCAAAGCCAGTTCTTTGTGTGGTCTTTCTAAGATCGGGTCGACAAAACGTTACTGTTTCCGGCTTCGTTCAGAACGCTCTAATTAACTTAATTACATGCAGAAAGATTGAGCTCATGGCTAGGTTTCAGTATCCCCAGACCACGGGCTACTTCATATTTATCAGATTACTATTGTTTTTGTTCAGTAGATAAAAATCATCATCTCCATCGAAGATGGATCAACTCTATTGTGCCATTCTGCCAGACTGGCCAAGAGCAACCTTCCAGCGAAACACGAAAAAACGAGTAAAGGTCTTATCGACGAAAAAGTGCTGCGAAGGAGGGTAGAAACATTGTAGAAATTTCAATTTTCAAAATTTCGATTGTCGGACGGATATTTCTCAGAAATACAAAAAACCTTTTGACTGAAAAAGGTGAAAAAATCAGAACAACAGCAAATATAGTGAAAAACAGTGCACGTTAACACAGAAAAACGAAGCCTCTTATCGTGATGATCACACACGATAAGACCCTTAGCAGAAAAAGATAGTGGGGAAGGATGCTTCAGTGGGGAAGTGGTGGAAAGCAGTACACTCCCGTGCCACGAATTGGGAGTGATAACGACGTTATCTCGAGGAAAACACGGAATTGGAGGCTCGGTCCTCCAGAGACAGATATATGGTGAAAGACCGTAGTAAACTAATTTTGTAGCTACTCTGATGTCATAGACATTTGAATTGACACCGGTATTTTTTGATATTTTAGAATATGAGTAGCTAGGAAGAGCAAAGGGTCAATCCTTTTCCAATGAATTTAATATAGAACTGTCACCAAAAACATATTAAAATAGGGTATTTGAGCCGTGCTTTTAATAGCAATCACGTAGTTTGAGGATCCGAGACCCAGCTATGTGGTTGTGTTCGCATGTAAATGAAAGCTGATCAAAAGTCGTTTCTGATCAATAACGAGGATTGATCAGATTGTTCCTTTTAGCCTAATTGTTGTGATAAACTTATTAAATAGATTTGTTATGTTTGATGTTTGTGCCTGTATGTGGAGCGCCCTCTGAGGGATTTTAGAGACAGGTCTGTTCAGTGGCTTTCTGTGGGGAGGTGGGGAACTGGAACTGGCTTGAGGAGTCTGATGGTGCGCCGCTGGACCTATTGAGCTCGGGTGAGATTGTTCCTTGTTATTGATTTTTATAATTCGATTTTAAATTTTAAATTAATTTAGTTGTCTTTTTTTTTATTTGCATATTTGTAAAATTCCCACTATCCGCTTATCATGGGTTAGTTCAGTCCCCTAAAGTCCAGTCAAAATCCTTTTTTTACCTTTATGCTGCGTCAAGATGAGGAAAAACAACAAAGAGTGTAGAAGCAAAGATTGCTTAAAACCTTCAGGACTGATAAATTGGATTAGATGTGATTGTTGTTCTAGTTGGTATCATATCAGTTGTGTAAATATTTCTCTTAGCGACTCTAAGAAAACCCAATGGTTTCAGTGTTCTTTATGCGTTGATGTAAAAACTGTTAATAAAGCAACAATAGGTAATGATTTATTGCTAGACAATTATGTTAATACAGCCATCTCAAATGTCCGAGTACTCAAGAGAGTACCAAAAGACTCGCGTGTTCCCTTGGCGGAAAGTCTGTCGGACAAAATAAATGACATCGTCTACAATGTAGAAGATGTTACAAAATGGCAAATTTTTTTTATTGTCGTTCTTTTTTTTTTGGAGCAACCGAAAAGAAGTGGACGCAAACAGACCACAAGCATGAGCTCTTTGATAAATAAAAAAATTCGAGCAAATGACGTGTCACTTCCAAAACCCCATCCCCAAGTTTCAAGCCCGCCTCTGAGTGACCTCGAGCAGAGAATAAAGTTAATAAGTAGTAAGCTCAATGAAGGAAATGTAAAGGGAAGAATAATGCTTGCTGCTTCGGATGACAAAACAGCTCCTTTTTCAACTGATAACTATCAAAAATTGTTGTCTAAGCACCCGCAGCGAGCCAAATTTGCAGCTCCAAATCCAGAAAAGTTGGATAGTTTTTTCGTAACCGATTTCGACCTATACAAAGCGATAATGTCCTTTCCAAACGGATCAGCAGCAGGTCCTGATAAAATATTTCTCAAATTTTTAAAGATCTTGTTAGTAAGTCGAATGGCAGTGCAGGACTTAATTTTCTGAAATCGCTTACTAAGCTGATAAACCTCATTGGAGATGGCAAAATACCGGAACCACTAAGACCTTTCTTTTTTGGCGCAAAGCTTATCGCCCTCATAAAAATAGACGGAGGGTTGAGACCGATTGCCATAGGCAACACGCTGAGACGTATCGCGTCTAAATGCGCTGGAAGCAAGGCCCTCTCCGAGCGACAAAATTTTTTCGGAAACGTACAGGTAGGATGCGGTACCAAACGAGGAGCAGAAATAGCTGCGCACTCGTTTCGAAACCTAATTGAACGCGACGACAATCCAAAATGTACTGTTCTTTTAAAATTAGATTTTAAGAATGCCTTTAACTCTTTAAACAGAGAAACAATGCTGAATCATGTTTTTTCAAATCGCCCCGAATTGTATAATTACACCCATTGCGCGTATGGTAAACCTAGTTACCTTTTTTACGGAAGCTCTGTCATAATGTCAGAAGACGGAACTCAGCAAGGTGATCCTGAAGCCCCACCCCTTTTTGCGGAAACAATTCATACACTAGTCAAACAGTTGGAGTCGAAAATTAACATCTGGTATTTAGATGATGGGAATTTAGCCGACGACTATAAGGTAGTACTCCGGGACCTTAAAAACATTCTGAAATCGGAACAAATTTACGGCCTGAGCTTAAACACTGAGAAGTGTGAACTTTGTTTTTTGGGACCGACTACTAGTACGCAGTATAATTCAATTTTAACACAATTTCGAAAAATATGCCCCAAAATAAAAATAAAAACAAAAGAAGAACTCCTCATTTTAGGATCTCCAATCGGCGAGCTTTGCCGAAAAGAATTGCTCGACGAAAAAATTAGGGAGCTTGAAAAAATCTCTGATATCATTGACAAACTAGACGCCCATTATGGTTTTTACCTCCTGAAAAATTGCTTTAGCATGCCAAAACTCCTATATTTTTTGCGTACGAGCCCTTGTTTTTTGCAAAATCATTTTTTGGAACGCTACGATAAATTACTAAGAAATTCGTCGTGCAAGGTCACTAACGTGAAAATGGATGATAACCAGTTTTTACAAGCAGTTCTCCCGGCAGCCAAAGGTGGCTTGGGCGTTTCTTCCGCTCGTCTTCTCGCTTTACCCGCTTTCTTAGCCTCAGCAGTAGGAGCGGAAGATGCCCTGAGCGAAATCTTTGGTTTGGAGCATGTGGATGGAACCTATGATGATGCGCTTAAACGGTGGTTTGACCTTGGAAAAATTGAAATGGCTTCGGAAAATGAAATCCAAAAAAAATTGGACGGAGCCAATTTTTGACAGCGAAATTGCAGACTTGATTTTACGACTCGAACCAACGGATGTAAAAAGGTTAAACGCGTTCCAAGATAGATTTGGATCCCAATGGTTGAACGTCATCCCGTGCAAAAATTTAAGGTTAAAACTGTCGAACCAACAACTCAGAATTGCGATAGGACTTCGATTAGGATCAAAAATATGCGAACGGCATAAATGCGTGTGCGGAAAAGACGTTACCGAGGATGGTTGGCATGGTCTTTCTTGCCTCAAAAAAGCAGGGAGATTCTATAGGCATTCAAACCTGAATGCCCTTATAAAGCAGAGTCTATCATCTACTCACATCCCGTCTGTTTTAGAACCACGACACCTCTACAGGACCGATCAGAAGCGACCAGACGGTTTGACGCTCGTTCCATGGGCTGATGGTAAGCAGCTCTTGTGGGATGTAACGGTAGTAGACTCCTTAGCTCCTTGTAGGATTAATGCCGGGTCTGTTTGTAACCCTGGTACGGCTGGCGCTGAAGCGGAAGAGCGAAAAATTGACAAGTATAAAGATCTTGTAAATGATGGATATCTTTTTCAACCGCTAGCTTTTGAAATTCAGGGCGCGGCCGGCCCCAGCACAGAAGTTTTTTTGAGCAAGCTTTGTAAGAACCTAAGCATATGCACTGAGGAACCCAGAGCAGGCAGCTTTTTAAAACAGAGAATCTCCCTGGCAATACAGATTGCGAACGCCGCTTGCGTACTCGGAACAATAAATGACAAAATAACTTTCGACGAAAATTTTTACTTGTAACACTTGTATATTATATTATCTTGTGTCGAGTTGCGTGTTCTTATTGAAGAAGCGTAACCCGTATCGATTTTAAATGAAAAGGACTTAAACACTTGACATCTTCTTTTATCATTATCACTTCCATATCTAGAAAATTCCAAGGATTTTGACTGGAATACATGATGAAGGGACTCATGACTGTAACCTCGGTTACTATGATACTTTTGACCTTCTGATTACCATTAGAAAAAAGTCGTTTGATCGATGGCCAAAAAATAGTAACTTTGTACTTTGCCCTAAACAGACCAGAAAATCAACTGGCAAGGTCGAGACGGTGAAAAACGAGTACAATTAAGGTAACTGACGCCTGCCAGACGTTAATAGGTACTTTTTCTGCGCTCCGTCGCGGTGTAGTATTTGGGCGAATGTTAAATTTCCCTCAACTCCTAGCTTCTCATGTTCTGAAAATGAATTTATTGTTAATTGAATTCAACTCTGGACATCCTCAGGAAGCTAAAAGTTTATAAAAATAGAGTTTGAGGTCTCCTCCCGAGACCCTTTCGGAATCCGGACAAAGAGCTTTCCTATCTCTTTCCGGAAGTCTGGACACGTCGTCCCAACACCCTTCCTGGTTCTCGGGAATCTCTTTGTAACGATTGTAGCGGCACAATCGTTACAAATCGGAATGGTTGTCAGTCACTATAATATCCGTATCGCTTGTATTATTCCCCGTCTCGTCTTTTTCAACGAATATTGTTGTTGTGTTGTTTTCACAATTAACATGTCACACCGAGTTGACCATTCCTAGTTTGTCAAACTGAACGATTAACACCGTTAATACTCTAAAACTGCCAATTTTCTCGTTCAGCTGCTACAATAAAAATTCGAACTTGAACTGCATTTTGATACATTCTGGTCGATTGTCACAAAGACTAGTGTTGTAAGTTTGGTTACCATGATAGTTTCTGATCTTCTGATTTATAGAAACTGTTTGCAAATTGTCTTTTCAGATAGAAAAAGAATTTGCCTTTTTCCACTATTGTAAATCCTTAAAGTTTCAGATAATGGACGGTGTCAAAGATTCCCCAATAATTGCATTTCATTCGCCATGGTTCTTCGGTGAACTCTTAGAAGCCGTGAAAAACGCGCCAACATATCACGTGATACTTGAAGTTCTGCTAGTTGCACTTGTTCTTAGACTCTGGTTCTACAGTAGGTACGTTGAGCAGAAATTAGATTTAGACGTCACCAGTTTTCTGTTTCGAGTATTTATTATCCAAACTATTACAAAAAAAATTTGAAGTATTTTTGAATGATTCTGCATTGTTCACAGCAACCCTATCTTGGAAAAACTAGAATTATAATCAATTTTTTGGTGTGTGGCTTATCCTTAGACAACCGCTTATTCATACTCGTCAGTAAGCAGACAATTACTAATTAACCGGATCAAGGTAACATCCTCACAAACGGCTGTGGGGGGGGGGGGGCGGGGTGGGATGTTAGCTTGTTTCCATTAACCAATCAGAATCGTGATGAGAAGCCAAATTTACGAAATGAAGAAGGCTTAATTTCTTCTTTGTTTTGATTCTCGTTCAATATAGTCGTAGTCTGCTTACTGACGAGTCTGAATATGCGGTTATCTGAATATGATGCGTAACCTAATTTTTCATGGAATTAAAATCCATTCTGTAAGCACTTATCGGTGTCATCGATGCATTGATACTTAAAAAGCGGCTGGTTACTCCTGTTTTAGCTATAAAATTGAACGCGAGGAGCTGACGGAAGAAGAACAAGAACAGTTGATCAGAGAGTGGAAACCAGAGCCTTTAGTTCCTCTCAATGAAGACCTGCAAAACAGTTTCTCAGTTCAATCATCATTTGGAGATTCTGTATCAGAGACAGATGCAAACTGGACTGATGTAAATGCAAATGTGATTTGTGGCCCTGTAGGGAAGCATGTCGACATAAATGGGAAAAATTGTTTGGACCTGGCAACATTCGACTTCCTCGGAATCATAGGTTAGGAAACAATTTTTGCAATGTTTCAATGGTCTTTAGTTTTTAAAGTCCCGTAATTTTTAAAGAAAAAAATAAGTTTCAGAACTAAACAGTTGGGGTTTCTTTAGCTATTTCTCCCCTTTGTTACATAGTAATGAATTGCCACCTTGTAATGAAATAGTTCAAGGGTAAAGTATATGCGAATTTTGTGCCTTGTAACGATCCTCCTGCATCGCCTTTTTGCAAAAGGGGAGGGGGGTATTTGAAGATGCAGCAGAAAAACATTTTCAGGGTCCCATCTGAATTAGAAAAACGTAACGATTAGACGTTTACTGCTTTTGGTTATGTTAACTGCGGGATTTAGTTTAAGATGATTTAATAGGTGATATTAAACAGATTGCAGAAATCATGTTTTCAGGTTGCAAGCGTATTGAGGAGGCATCAGTGACTGCTCTGAAGAAATATGGCGTGGGTTCATGTGGCCCGAGAGGTTTCTACGGAAGCATAGATGCACATATAAGTTTGGAAAAGGAACGAGCCTTATCGATTAGTCTCCTTTTAAACGAAAATATTTGGCTCTCCTAATTTTTGCTACAGCAAAAAATATCGAAAAAAGTCAGATCTTAACTAAAAACTACTCTGGCTGTCTTGTTAAGTGTGAAAGAACAAATTGATTTCTTTTTCATGAAAAGTCTTTTCCAGTTCACGACATCCAGTTTGAAAATGTTTTTTTTTTCTGAATTCCCATCGGACTAAAAAATCTAATCTATCGTTATCCAGTTTTATCTAAAGGGATAACTTTACGATTCATAAACAGTATTTGAAATTCATACTTCATAGAGATTTAACTTGATGAAGTTTTTTTTATTAATTTGTGTTTCGCTTTTCTTGTTCTGCTAGACTTTTTCAATGTTCTAGTGGCTATGTTAATCTGTTTGAAGCTGAATTCGTTAGAACAGTAGGTAAGATTTTTCGTATGAGCAAAGGAGAGTAATCGATAACACTTTGAAGGAATTGGCACATTTCATGGGTGTTGAAGAGGCTATTTTGTATTCATATGGATTTGCGACCGTCGCATCGGCAATCGCTGCGTATGCTAAGAAAGGAGATATTTTGTATGTGGATGAAGCTATCAACTTTTCGGTACAGCAAGGTAAGTAAAGAGGAAAAACTTCGTTATCATGATGAATTTGGTTTTTTCAGGCTGCCTTGAAAACAGAGGTTGCCTAATAAAAACAATGAACTAGCTTTTTGGTGTAACGCCTGCGCAAGTGATGTCAACTACTCTATTTGTTCTGATTAGCCTCTGCTGTTTCTTTGTAATTTTTATAACCTTGAAATTGTCGATATTTCTTTTTGTTTTGTTTTTCGATTAAAAACTTTATTCTGGCCAAATGATTTCGGCCCAGATTTTATCGGCTTAGTGACCTAAATTCGAGTTAATTCAATGGATTTTTTTGCTCATCCTTGGATTGAACAAAATGCTAAACATCTGAATAGAAATTACAATTCAAATTTTTCGTGACAACAATTTTTCCATTGCCTTGTTTGTTTTTTTCCCCTTTTTTTCGAGTTGATAGGTTTCGGCCTATATAATATGGGTTCATCGGCCTAATATTGTGTCCTTCGACGAGCGAAAAAAAGGTATGTGTTAAAAATTCCTATTAATCTGAACTTTTGTCGTTTTTTATTTTCGTTTTTTTGGGCTTCGTAGGTTTCGGGCTATATTACATCGGCTTAGTTGTCTCATATTGTTTTATTTGACGAGCAAATGATGTATTTTGAGGGCGACGGGGCTTTTCATAAGTGTTTTATTTTCAGCTTAAAAGGTTTCATCAAACCGCAAAAGGTTTCTCCGATGCTAATTTCACATTCTACTGTCTCGGCATGTCTTTGTTTCAAAACCAGCCTTATTCATTATGATTGATCTTACTCGACATTTTCGATTTTTTCCAAATTTTTTTTGTGTATTTTCGATTTTTTTTCCAATTTTTTTATTGTAGCTCATCTTCACCTTTGTGTATAAACATTATATTGGGCTTCTGGGGGTTTCTTTGTGTTGTCTAAAGTTTCGAACTTTTTCTTCAGTTTTTGGCTCAGTTATTATCTTTATTTTGTTATACTTGCAAGTGCAGACGTACTAGTGATCGGTATTACATTTTATCAAATCTAAAAGAAGAGTTATAGTCTGGCCTGTCCTGCTACAACTTCGCCTGGTCTATCTTGCTTTTAAGATAGAACTGCCGGTCTGAAGCGCGGAAAAATGAAGAGGGTGGACGTCTGGAAGGGAATCCAGTCCATAAGGATTTCTGTCTGAAAATGCTCTGTAAAAGGCACAGCTACAAACAACTCATGGAAAGTCAAACAAGCAATGACCGTCGTTTGCGTACGCCCTTGAATGGGGATGGGGTGCAAAACATTTAACGGTTTCAACTACTGATATGTCTAATAGTAATATGAATAAAACGAAAAAAACCGACCCGATAAAAGAAGTCGTTCAGACTAGCTCGTGGAACGTTGGCACAGTAAAAGGAAAATGGCTTAAGATATGCGAAACTCTAGAAAGAAAACTATATCGGTGTGCTGTCTATAAGAGAGTTGTTTAGAAGCGGTGCAAGAAGTTTTGGAGATGGTGACCACAAATTATTTAAGTTTCTCTGGCAAGGAAACTCAGAAGGCACAAATGGTATTGCAATAGCCATTAATGGCCAACTTACTGAAATTGTGTTGGAAGTCAGTAGAGTACATGAACGTGTAATGTGCCTGAAACTTGTATTAGGACATACTTTGTGCAATGTTGTATCTGCGTAAGCACGACAAGCTGGTAAAGTTGATTCGGAACAAGAAGGTTTTTATAACATGCTAGACTATACTTTATCTCTACCTGACCAAGAATATACTTTCCTATGTGGTGACTTGAATGGATATATTGGAAGGTGGCGCCAGAAAATTAATTGGGAAGTTGGCCCATTTTGCTTTGGTACTCAAAATTCAGAAGTTCAGAGACCTCTGCCAGTCACAAAGTCTAGCCGTCCTAGAAAACTCAACCCATATTGAGCTCATTCTAACACGATTGTCGCGGAGAGGTTGTGTCAAGTTTTTGAAGTCTATCAAGAGCGAAGATTATGGTACTCAGCACAGACTTGTTGTGTGTGATTTCTATCTTGAAGTTCTCCTTAACCGCCATTAGTCAAACCAGTTAGAAGAATAAAATCGTGGAAATTAAATAAAATTGAAAACCATATCAAGTACAAAAAGGCAATAAGTAAGAAGCTAAAAACATAATCAAATACAGGCCAACTGGGGAAACTTGTAAATCAACACTTCTAGAAGAAGCGAAAAACGTATGTGGTGAGACAACCGGAAAACCAGCGGGAAAATGAAAAACATGGTGATGGAACAAAAAAAAGCAAATGAGTTGAAAAGAAAAGATTTGAAAAGAGGTCTGAAAATGAAGAAGACCTGACAGTCGTGAATCAGCTATCAGCTAGTTGCTGAAGCTAGAAAATGGTCCAGCCAGGGACACGGCATAAAATGTTCCGCCTTGCCAAGCAAATGAAAAATGATCAAAAGGTTGTGGTTGGAGCAGAATTCATTACACGTGATGATAAAATCCTGACCTGTGCCCGAGGTTTTCTCTCGCAATGGCGAAGCTACTTCTCAAATCTTTTATATGAAACAAATCCGCGGGAAACCGAAGATATCTCCCCCTCCCCCCCCCCCCCCAGTGGTTGGCGCATTGGAGGATTTTACTATCCAGGTAGGTGCACTAGCACTGAAAGAGATAAAACTAAGAAAAGCCTAAGAATAACAGGGCTAACTTCGGACATGATAAAATTTACCGGGGATTGTGGGCTTCTGGAATTCTGGTCTAATCCAATCCGACTGGAGCAAAAGTAAAACTGATATGTTTTGTAAAGGAAAAAGCGATCCGTTGAAATGTTAATCCTACACAGGCATCCGATTATTCGAAAAATACTAGAAAATGTCTGTTATAATTTCAAAAAAATTGATGTCATGAAATTTGGCTTTATGGGTGGTAGATCAAATACCGATGCCGTTTTTCGTATAAGACAATTGAAGGAACTATTTGCGGAAAAGAAAAATCCCCGGCATCAGATATTTGTTGATCTCGAAAAAGCCTGTGGACCGTGTTCCCTGGGAACTAATCCCATGCGCTCTGAGGCAACATAGAGTTCCCGAAAATCTGGTACGACTAATAATGTTCCTGTACACTGAATCGAAAACCAAGGAGTTCGCCGGCCTTAAGGACGCAGTGATCACTTTGTTATTTATGATTGTAAGGGAAGAGGTTACGAGAGGTTACCATTGTTTTTTTTAGTAATGGAAGAGGCTGATAAACTGTCGTTCCATGGGTTATGCTATACGCAGATGACCCTGTGATACACGCTGAAACGAAATCCCACTCTTTTGAGAAGTTTAATACTTGAAACAAGTTTTTGCGAATCATTTGATTTCAGGCCAAAGTCTTTGCCTCGAAAAACGGTTAAATATCCAAGCGCTTGTTGTTTTAAGGGGGTCGGCGCCAATTCATTAGGCTGCAATTCTTTGAATCATTGGGTGCATAAAAGATGCATTAGCCTGAGAAAAGTACCTAAACATAATACTTATTGTTTGTCCAAGATGCAGCAATCCTTTCAATTATCACTCAAATCAGAATGCTACTCCACGGATTAATCAGTTTGAAAACCTGAGTACTGTCAAAGAGTTCTGATATCTGGGTGATATGGTTTCCATTGAAAGTGACGCAATAAGTGCATCATCGGTTAGAATTGCAGCATACTGGACGAAATTGAAAAAGTTACGAGGGGTTACCATTGTTATTTATAATAGCAACGGAAGAGGCTACGAGAAACTGTCGTACCAATGTACAATGGGATATGCTATTTGCAGATGAGCTTGTGATATTCGCTGGAACGGAATCCCACTCTTTTGAGAAATTTAATTCTTGGAACAAGGTTTTGTAAAAAGCGATTTGAAAATCATAGTGAATAAGACGAAGCATTTGATTTCAGGCCAAAAGTTTTTTCCTCAAAAAACCGGAAAATATCCAAGCGTTTGTTGTTTGAAGGGTGTGGGCGCCCTATCAAAAGGCTGCAATTCTTTTAATCATTTGGTGGATAAAAGATGCAACAACCTTGAAGAAATTACTTAAACATAATACTAATTATTCTTGTCGAAGATACCATAATCCTTCCAATCATCAATCAAATCAGATTGCTACTCTACAGATTTAAACAGTTGGAAACCTTGAGTACTGTCAAAGAGTTCTGATATCTGGGTGATATGATTTCCGTTGAAAGTCACACAATACGTGAATTATCGTTTGGATTTGCAGCTTACTGGACAAACTGGCAGCAGGTTGCGCCTCTGCTGCTGAATAAATATTTTGACTCGATTTCAAAGTGTTATTTCTACGGATTTTGTTATTTCTACGGAGAGTTCTGATGTACTGCTCTAAAACCTTGGCGCAGACAATGCAACATCTAGCTCTCTTAAGAGTGCTGATATGAGAGCTCTGCGTGGGAATACTGGAGTCTCTTATAAAGAAAGATTTATCATCGAGTTATCAAGCTACAATTTCGATCGCGGCTACGATGGTGTGGCCATATTCAACGAAGAGAAAATGACTATGAGCTAGAATCAACTGACCATAATTCAGTCCCAGAGAAAAGACCAACAGGAAGGCCAAAAAACGCTGGATCGTTTGTGTTGAACGAGACCTGAGTACCTTAGGCTTCAAGTCCAGAGGCTCCCTTGATTGAATGTCGTAGAAAAACGTGTTATCCTCCATTTATTAGCTTGAATGCCATTCAGAATGCACTCATCTGAACTATTGCTTAGACGCTTTTCAGATGCCCAACTGCGCCACCAGAAACAACAGACAATAAACGCATTAGTAGTAGAAGTAGTAAAAGAAATTGACATTGCCTCATTATTATTCAACCTTAGCATCTTTCAGGCCCATTCTCGCTAAATCACTCGCCTTTGAATTTCCGTTAAATCACTCGCCTTTGAAATATGAGGTCAGTGGATTGATTACCCCCTTTTTACCTGCTTTTTTACAGTGTATTTGTTGCTGCCTGGTTGTAGCGAGCGTAGTGACATATTTGTAGCGAGCGTACTGATATATGGCGAAGTCCACTTTTTTTGTCACTTTACTTGCAAATAAAAGAGTTCATTTGGTAGCATTTTTGCTGGCATAGATTTGGCAGTTAAATAGATTCCGATGAGTCTACTATATTAGTGGCCTATGTTTAAGAGTAATGAACGCAGTGAAGACTCTTATATAGGTCTTTGTGATTTTTTTTCATGCAAAAGGCTTAAAATGCTCTAATAACTACAGATTTGCATTTAGACATATGAATGCATTTATGAATGCACTTAGTTATGTATGCTTTTTTGAGTTCATCTGCTGAAAGTTACCCAAATAGCAATCTCCAAATACGACGTGGAAATGGCGCTGAAAACGTGAACTAATTCTAGTTTCGAAACTGGAATTAAATTTTAGATTTCCAGCGGAATAAAAACTTATTTATTATTCCGCTGAAACCTATTTTTTTCTTACGCTGGTCTCAACTTGGGTTAATGTTATCAAAAAAGTGCCAATCATAAATTGTTCTAGAAATTCAAAGAGCTTAAAGGGCTTCTGTTTTTTCTTTAAAATTCGAAAGTTGATTTTTTTTCAACGTCTTCAGTGTTTTTTTTTCTGTACTTGCGTTCATTACTCTTTTCCAACTGTCAGTTGGCTTTGTTTGACTAATGTCGAGCGACTGTGGCACAGATGTATCGGTGTGCGACTGTCAATCGCCATCTTTGGGTTTCAATTCCGACACAAGTCGAAGTTATAGAGATTGTGTTAACTACGTAAGGCAGCAAGGTCAGATAGTGTGGCGGTGGGAGTCCCGTTAGCTGTCTAAACTGCTATTATATTTTTCTTGCTTTTTTAAAAGGCTCTTTTTGCCGTTTTGTGAATATTTTTGATCGAAATTATTCTTTGCGTGTTTTTTTTTGTTCTATTAAAACTCTTTTGCTTTTTCCAAAAGATGTTATCTTTTAGTTTTTGCCATCAATCGTCTTCGTGATTACACTAGCGCTCAGCGTAGTGTAATATTATGAACCTTCTTTTTTTCTTACCTACCTCGCACATAAAAGTGTTATCTTATTTGGAAATTTCACTGTAGCAGTAGAGTCTGTTCTCTGCTTTATTTGTGGCTAGTGTTTTATGCCTATGAAGCGTACGTGGCTGAGTGGTTAGTGTATAAAACTCATAATCTCTAAATCACCGGTTCGAACCCGAGACGTAGCCGAAGTTTTATTAATTCGGGGCTTATTTCTAATTTTTCTCATTGCACTTTTTAGAGTGCTTTTTGTCGTGTTCTGGCTAGTGTTTGCGAAGCTTCGCTTCTGTGTTTAATTTATGCCTGATATTTAGGTATTCGTGCATCGCGATCTAAAGTGAAGTGGTTTAAGCACAACGACATGGGCGATCTAGAGCGACTGTTGAAAGAACAAGCAGCGGAAGACAAACGAGATCCGAAGAAAGCGAAAGTGACCCGTTCATTCATGATTGTGGAGGGACTGTATTTGAATCAAGGCACGATTTGCCCTCTGCCCAAGCTCATTGATCTGAAGTATGCGTATAAAGTGCGCCTGTTTATCGATGAAACCTATTCGTTTGCGACATTGGGAGCTACAGGTGAGATATATGCACTTAACAAATATTAGTGTAATGTTATTTGAGATCTTCATCTGAAAACAAATCCAAATCTAACCTAAGGCCCCAGAGAAACCTTATGTTGCGAAGGAAAAGGATGATTACGAACATAAATATGTCTAAAAGTGAAAAGAATTATTTCTGACTGGTATCTTTGGATAGATTTTTTTGAGAAACGATCAACTTCTAGGATGCTCAGTTTGTCCCTCGACTAAACGGATTTATCTGATTGTGTAAAGGTTTTGGTTTAAGATGTGTTGATTGACAATGAACACACACCCAGAGCATTGTTTTTTTTGAGCCTGTGTAGTTAAATGACTGTTAGAAGCATTAGTTACGTTGACTATTTCCATGACAGACGGCTTAGATGCGTAAAGTTTTGCAACCAAGTAACGTCCATTAAACTGTGCAAACTGTTTTGTGACGGTCATTGCTTTCACAATGTTGAGAAATAAAATCTGATTGGCTAAAATAATTTTCGAAAGATGGGTCCTTCTGACACCGGACGATTGGTTCTACGATTAGGGACTACGTCATCTTTGGAACCAATATTGTACTGTGCAAATTAATTATCAGAAGGAGTGACTAAGCTCTTCAATTGTGACGTCACAGCTATTTTTAACTAAAGGGTTATTGGGTTTGTTCTCTAGTACCACGTAGGTAACTGAGTTACATAACGAAGCGTGTCGTTTTTGAAAGACAAGTAAACTAATTTCAATTTTTTATTGGGCAAATTAATATTCAGGAAAAGGAGTGACCGAGCACTTCAATTGTGACGTCACCGATGTAGACTGGATCTGTGGCTCTCTGGAGAACTCAGTCGGTTCTGGTGGTGGCTTCTGCTGTGGATCCTCTTACGTCATCGATCACCAGAGACTCTCAGGCAGTGGCTACTGCTTCTCAGCTTCAGCCCCACCCTTGCTATCGGTAAAAAAACACCTAAAATTACCTCATAGATAGTTTTGTGCAAATCATTTACATGCAGCGTATGTTAAGATTAAGTATGTTAAGTTTAGACTACAATTGGTATGAAATGGGGAATAGGAAGAGTTGGGTTCGAGTATTGGATGGTAATTTGGAGGTTTGGGCGGGATTGACAGCTGTATCATATGTAAGGTTTTAAGTAGTATGTTGGATCCCAAAATGTGCAATGTCGTAAAACCAAATCTGCGATTTATGCGTCTCAGTGTTACTAGGGAAGGAGATGATGAAATACTAGGGTTGAATAAATTTTATTCGAAACAAACGCAAATAGTTTCTCTTAATATTAAAGCACCCTCATTCATTAAACAAAAAATAATATTTGCAATTTAATTTTTTTCGTTTTATTCCGTTTTTGGCATTTTAAAAAAGGTTTTGGAACATTTAGTATTGCACAGCCTACGGATTTTCCTGTCTTAATAGGTTGCGGCAATTGAGGCGTTGAATATCATCAAGGAGGAGCCAGATCGACTTCAGAAGCTACAGGAGAACTCAAGAGTGTTGAATGCTGCCCTGATGGCCATCGATAAGATCACATGTCCCAGGTATAAAACATAAATTTACATTCTTCGTTGAAGCAGAAGACTACTCAAAATGCAACCCAGTCTGTTTTTAGTACCGCCCCCAAGAAATAGTTGAAAATGTTTGTACTGAAATTTGAGGTAGACAAACATTTTTAAATTCGCATAATTTTATGTTGTTCTGTAACTGAAAACTAAATTAATTTGATTATTGAAAAATTTGATGAAAATCAATATTTATAAAGTTATTCGTTTTTCAAGTGGTAATTACACATGCGTGGCGTAGTGTGATAGTACGGGGGCTATTCTCATGCGCGAAGGACCGAATGGGCGGAAAAACTTGTGCGCCAAGGACTGAAGACAAAATTAGCCGAAAGTCAATTTTAAAAGAAGCAATTGCCATTCAATTAAAATGAACTAAATGAAGCAATAGTTTGCTTCGTTCATAACTAAACTCTTGAAATATAAAATTTAGCTCCAATTCGGCGGCGGTCAGTTACAATTTTAAAATTTTGCATATTTCTGCCGTTTTTATATTCGGCCAATATCAATAATCAGTCCCTGGAAATGTTTACTTTCTTTACAAATTTTAAGTAACTGAAATCTGATTTTTATTTTCGCGCATTCGGTCTTTCGCATATGAATGATTTCAAATGATAGTACGACGCAACTTTTTTTCCAAGCAAAGTTGCAAACTAAAGTTCTACTTTTGGTGGGACAATTGAATCGGTAGGCCCCATAAGTGAATAGGTATACTACATAATTGAATAGGTATACTACATAAGCAGTATAGCCCCAAATACTGTTGACGCTTTTTTAATTCGTCAATTGAACTGAAAAAAAGTTATTTGTTTCATACAACAGTAAAATAATTAAAATCCATCTCAGAAATTTTCGAACTCGAATTACTTAGCGAGATTTTCGAAATGCATAATTTATACTCAATTACATTAATACATTCTAATTTATTACATGCAAAGTTAGCGTGGTTGCCTTTAGTTTATTACGCTCCAAGTTATTGTATGGAAATTTCAGTTTTTGTGTATGTTAAACCTGCTGAATATCTGGCGCTTTCTCGCTCGTGTTTGCAATGCTACAGCTTCGCCTGTGTGGCCTATGTGAATTTCCTCTGCATTGAGATCGTATGCTTATTTTTTGTTTAAGGAACGACATCTTTTATTTGGATGACGTTCAATTTGTTATTGCTGCGGTTGATTTTTGGTTTAATCACGAATAATAGAAGGTCTGAATGTTAAAATGGTTCAGTTTTAGCCGATCAAAAATTAAGTAGACAAAGCAATCGGCTCGAAGGACAGCCTTGCGGAAATTACTCTAGCCAGCAGTTCATTGAGCTTAAAAAATAGTTCTTATACTATGACTTTTTTGGTTCTTTGAGCAGACCGTTTTTCGAATACGAACTCTGCGCGGTTTTAGAAGTTTCTTATTTTTTCAGTCCCTGCGAATAGTCATCTTGCTCATTTTTTGACTTTTAGCTTTAATCACGATCTCTATCTTTGAAAATGTTTTGTAACTGTTCTCTGCTTTATTGGTGGCTTGTGTTTGGCGTTAGTCAAATTCCGTGGCACAGAGGGACTTGAGATTCCTAAGCTACATGTCAAAGTTTCAAGGACTCACATAGCACTAGTTTCATTTGTATTTGATGGGATTTTTGGTACATAGCATTGGCAGTTTTTTTTGTTGGTGCATAGCATTGGCAGTTTCTTTGGTGTATAGCATCGATAGCTTGTTCATTGGCTAGATCTCAGAATTTTTCAATGGCCCGTGGCGCAGATACTAGAACGTGAGACTTCGAATCTCGATGCTATAGGATCGAATCTAGCACAGCGGCAAAGTTTTACTAATTCGAGGCTTAGTTGTACCTTTTGTTTCACTGTTTAAAACTGTTTTTTATTGTTTTCTCGCTTATAATTGCGAAGCGCCGGTTCGCTTCTGTGTTTATTTTCGAGTTCGTTTGAAATTTATTCCTGAAATGGGAGGAAAATTACGTTATTCAAAAGGACATTTAGCGATATAAATGGCATTTGTGTTTGAATTTCAAAAATAGATTTCAATATCAATAGGCTAGGAAATTAAGTTTGCAGAACGTGAAGTTTGCGTGCCATGAGCCGATAAAGCAATAAATATCAAACCCATAAATCAATAGACATATGCGGTGGTTAACCTAGCTAAAAAAAGTACTCTTTTGGTGTCTCTTCTGGTTCAATGCATGACATCGACATTTTAATGGCATATGTAGCTGCTTTTTTGCTAATTAGCTTAAATTCATTTTCCAGAATGCGACGACTTCAGGCGTCTAATCTTACGGTCGGAGGTTCCATTCCGGCACATAGCAATAATTTGGTTTGTTTTGGTGGCATTTAATAATATCTATTGGTGCTTTATTGGTGGCTACAGTTTGTATTTAAACTAACGTGGCGCAGATGCGAGGACGTGAGACACTTAATCTTCGGGGCGAAGTTCGATTCTGGTACAAGACAAAAGTTTTTATACTTTTTTTCCTCATTTCTCTTTAAGAACATCACGACTCTTTTATGAAATTTTGTCTTGTGCCGGAATCGAACTCCAGCCCCGATGATTAGGAGTCTGACGTTTTATCTATGAAAGTGAAAAAATAGACCTTTTTCGATTTGTTGGTTTGGTTGCGATTAGCAAGCGTTATCAAACTGGAATATTGATCTTTTCGGGTTAACGACTAGTTAAGCAGAATCACTTGATTCATTTGATAGCTCGCTTTATTAATGAAGTTAATTTTCATGAAACTGGGTGAAGTAGTGTGGTGATAAAGAGCGGGGTTATGTCAAGAAGGATCAAACGTTCGAATCCGAGACCATGCCAGTTTTTTTTTAAAGTGCAAAACAGTTTGATGCAAAAAATTTTCTTTGTAGGTGTTTTAAGTATTTGAGTATTTTGAACGTCCAGTCGAATCGAAATTTGTTTTTTACATTGCTTGCAATTTTACTAGCTCGAGTTATTTTTTTCTTCAGTATTTTTATCGGCTTAATGAGTTTACGTTTAAATTATATCAACCTAGTGGGCTCCTATTGCGTACTTTGACGATGGAAAAAAGTTTTGTGTGCGTGTGCTCTGTGGGGAAAGGTCATAAAAGTTTTTTTATTGGTTGTGAGTTTTCTTGAATTTTTACCACTGTAAAAGGTTTCTGTTCAAATGTTTTCGGCTTTACTACCGCTTGGTTATTATAAGTTCAATTCAATCAATCATCCGGATCATCTTTAGTAGAGTTAACCCAAGTGCTTCAGACTGCAAGGTGTTGAGGTTCGAATCCGGCCTGGACCTGTTTTTTTTTTAAACGGGAGTTTTTGTGATTTTACGGGCTATCATCCGTCTGTTTATTTTTGTCGGCTTAGTTCAGTTTTTGAAATTTCGGCTTTCTTCCAAGTTGCTTTAACCCCGAGACTTGCCCGGGAGTTCAATATACGTCAAGACCTGGTTTTTTTTGCAAATAGAAAATTTTCGGCTGGCTTAGATTATTGTCGATCTGCTTATTTTTGTCGGCTTAATTCCGCAGGAATCATTTTTTGAAAATTTGGTTTCTTCTTAGCATTCCGGAAGGTCTTTGTTAAATTTCTAATGATGCAGGTAATTTTTTGGGCTATGCGTCCAAAATTTTGACCATTTTTATTGACAACCACGATTTTTTGAAGTGTTTAAATGTTTTCCGTTTGATTTTAATCATAGTCATTCATATTTGTATCGCAATAGGTGCGAAGCTCAGCTTCGCCTCTATGTTTAAACTATGCTGCCATCTTTTGGCTCGGTTAGTTTTTTATGGACAGTAGAATCGTTCTAGCCGCTACTTTTTATTCTGAAACTAGTCATTCTCGTTTCCTCGCACCGTTTTTCTGCAAAAAACAGCAAGGACAGAGAACGAGCTTGAGTGATGTGCTGGATTAAAACCCAACCGTGACTGGTATTAGAATTACTTTTAATAAAATTTTGTTCCGAGCGTTGCACGAAAGCGATTTGAACAGCGTAGCAATGAGAGGTTTTTTTTTCGTTGGGCGATAGTTATAAGCACCGATTTGCGTTGAACCAAAATTCAACGCTATCAGGAATTAATTGATTTCTGTTTTCTCAATAATAAGTATTAAATGTTGATGTTTTTATAGCTTTTCGTATTTTGCAAAGGAAAATGGATAGCATTGTTTGCCTTCGCTTATAAGTTTTCTGTTTGATCCTTGTATCAGATATAGCCTTATCTAAACATGCGTTTTGTTTCAGTGAGGCGAACTCTCCTATTCAACACGTGGTCCTTCAAGACCCATCACTCAGCTACGAAGACTGCAAATCATTCCTCATTCGACTGAGGGACAAAATGATAGATCAAGGGTACCTGACGACTGTGGCAGCTCACTTGAACCAATTCGAAGTGTTCAGACAAAGACCATCTGTAAGACTGTGTGTGAAATCGACATGTGAAGAAAACGAGATTGAATCGTTCGCGAACTTGTTCAAACTTACACTCAATCAGTTCATGCAATCGTGAAAATGGGAAAGAAACCAAGTAAAAACGCGGAAGTTTGACCGCTTATAAAATGAGCAAATTATCTTTGTAATTGTTTAAATTTTTGCTTTTTGAACTAAATGTAATTCTAATTTTGACCATTTCGAATGCCGAGAAGAAAACCTTAATGTCAATTTTTTGTTGAAGATTTTTTTTCAATTTAACCTTGTCGTTCAAATTTACAATTGTTTATTGGAATTTCACAGAATTTTGCTCCTATAGTATCTGATCAAATGAAAATTGGACATTTTGAAATCGTTATCCCATCTTGTATTTTTTGACCGAAAAAATTTTCTGAAATTCATTTTCAGATCAAACAGCTAAATCGTTGTTTATTTAATAGATGTGAAAGTTATGAATATTTGGTAAAAATTGTAAATATTTATAATGGAGGGTGTAAATTTGTAATAACGTTCTCAATTTTGTCTGGTGATTTCTAATATCTTTTATTTACAATGTTTGAGATTCCTTTTTATAATAATCATGAGCAAACTAATTGTAATTGAGCAATGTTATGTCATATAAATTTGGCATAATTCCTTTTTAAAATTCTGGTTTTTATGTAATCTTTTTAAAACTAATTGTCAATGAAGGTAGTGAATACACTTATATAGGTTATGATGGTTTTTTGACTCTTTTAATGCAAGAGTGTCGATTTTCCGCGCTTTGACTTTTGATTTCTTTTTTAGTTCAGTTCATCTACTATTTAAAAGGAAGGCAAACTCCGCTGTCGAACAACAAAGGTGTAACTGTCACAAAAAAAACGTTTAAGACTTCTAGTTTGGAAAGTGCATTTTAATTTTTAGCGTTATAAAAAATAACTTATTGGTCCAGTTTTTTCTAATTAGATAAGGTTAATCAAAAAAAGTGCGTCAATCATAAATTTTTCTTGAAATTCGAAATTTTCTTTCTTTGAATTCGAAAATTGAAGTTTTCAGAGCATATGTCAGTATTTTATTCTGTTTTCTTCCTTCATTAACACTTTTTCAAATGTCTTTGGCTATATATCTGGAATTTAAAATGGATTTTAAATTTGGAGTCCTCAACGGAATAAACATTTGCCTATTGAACTGAGTTTTACGGTGATATAGTTTTTCTTGCAAACTTTTACACAGTTGGCTATGTTTTGAAATGTCGACCTGAAAGAAAAAATTAACCCACGAATTGTTTCCTAGCTGACATCCAAATCGGTAACTTGTGACAGGACTAAAAACCATAATCTGTGTAGTGGCCTAAATGCTTTTTAAATTAACGCTAAATTGTTGGCAATGTACTTTGCAAAAATTGTATTTTAATATTTATTTAAGTTTTTGGAATTTAGCAGTTCAAGGTAAGCAGTTCTATGCGGAGCAACCGTAAAAGTTTTCTAAATTGATTTTATTTTTGAGAGTAGCAACAATCTGTTCTCAAAATTTCGAACTTTATTTTGAATGGCAAGAACAACTCCCTTTCCGCCAATTGTTACACTTTGAGACTAGCAATTTGCATCAAATCGAGTACGGGACTCTTACTGTAATCAACTTGTGTAACAGAAACAACTCAACAGTATCACCATTTACAAATAGAGAGAATCACTTCTCGCACGCTGGTCATAAATGTACTACTTCGTCGCATAATTTCGGCTCTCTTTGGGTAATTGGCCAGTAGGGCATACAGATATATTATTTTTTGACATGCTTTTCGATACAACATTACTTCATGTTTTTAACCTTTTCATAAAGCCCTTTTTTAAAAGGATTGTTCAAACTCAAGCAAACGTTTGTTTCAACATGAGCTCACTTTCTTTTCAATCTAACTCGCATAATTTAGTGCTCCGTTTTTTTTCTCAAATCTATATCTGTTTGCTACTTTTCTATCTATGCTTAAAAATCATTTGTTGCATTCTATTGAGTCCTACTTTTGGGGGAAAAAAGGAGGTGAAATGGCAAAGTAATGCAGATGAATGACTACTGTTGTAATGGTTTGGGATTTCGAATCCCATAAAGTGGTAAATACAATTTTTTCTAAGCCTATTTGCTTCAATTTGTATTTTCTGGAATCGCCTCTATTTTTGAAAGTGAATGGTTGCTGTGCTAATAGTACATAATGTTCCAACCACTCGCAATTTTTTTTTCTAAAATTGTATTTTTGTGCGTAGCGTGATAAGGGGTGAGACGCAAGCTTAGGTTTTGCTAAAAAGACTCGTAGGCAACTGCTCTCGAAAATGGAATACAAGATCGCTGTCAAACGATCTTTGAGTGAAGTTAATTTCATATTTTCCTTATTGCCAAAAAGAGCTAACTAAAGCTTCGATAACTATTAGTTTTCCCTCGATACTGAGAAAACATTGAATTTTTTGAAAAATTATTTGAATCGCGACTCAGAGGTCTTTGTTATTATATAGCTTTCAACCCATTTTGATAATTACACGTGTAATCTTGCGAGCTTAATGTTATTTTAAGAATAGAATTTTTTCTAAACCAACTCTGTAATAAATGCTCATATGGTGGCACTTTTGCTGCATCGCAATGGCAATTCAATAGCCTTGGTTTGATCGAAGGTTTGATTCCGGCATAGAGCAAAGCTTTTTCTCAGGGCTTTATTGTTTTTTCAAGGCCTTTTTAATGACTAGTGTTTACATATCGTCCGACGACCGCGGCAAAGATGCGAGGACGTGAGACCCAAATTCTCCAGGTCAATGATTCAATTTAGGCACCGCAAATTTTTTATTTTTTTGCCTGTTTTGCTTTTTATCAGCTTTTTGCCGTTTTCTCGATAGTGTTTGTGAAATGCAGCTTAGTGTGAGTTTTTTCTGCTGCTGATTTCTAATGCTATTATTTTTCTCGTTCAGTGCTGTTTGCAATTATGCAAATGAATGTTTCAAATCGTTATTTTTTTCAATTCGTCAATGTATTTTTATCGCATTTTTTCAAATGGCTCTTCCAACTGCGTTCATGTTGTAAGTTTTTGTATCCGGAGTGTTTTTGTCAATGAACAGTGGTCAGTTGAAAATCTAAATAAAACAGATTTTCTGCCATGGGATACTAAAAATTTACTTTTTCGTTTGGTTTAATTTTACCCGGGATCATATGCGTATGTTTTTACCAGAAGTCGTGCGCAGCTCCGCTTTGCTGCTGAGTAAGAAAGCAGCACCTATAGACTAACCGCGGAAAATGAGTCAAACGAAAAAGGCAAAGTAATTATTTTTGGATATGTGGGTTCTATTTTTTTCTGTATGTGTATGTTGCTTAATTTATTGACTTAACTTGGTGAGTTTATGCAGATTTCCAACTTTTTTTTCAAGAAGGAGATACTTTTTGATTTATTATTCTCATGGTTTTTTAGTAAAAGTCGGGTCTCATTTTTTTGGTAGTTAGATTTCTAGGACTGTCCAAGTTACGCTCTTTAATGCAAGAATTGCCAATAAGGAGAAAACTGGAAATCACTTAAACTTTCAAACGCGGATTAAACGCATAGAAAAATCAAAGGAATATAAAACTTTTTTTCTTCAATTTGAGTTACTTTTATAAATTACACAAAAAAAAGACAATCATGACTTTTTAATCAAAAGTGTAACTTAGAATTGATTCTTCTACCTCAAAACACGTATGAAAACTTTGTTTACACTTGCATGCCAGTGTGCTTAGTGTTTTCGTTTGAGCCTACTTGCTTTCCAACCTAACTCGCAAATAAAATTGCTCATTTGTTGGCACTTTTGCTACAACCACGATCTGTAGCATTGGAAAATTGTTAACGGTAGCGTAACATCTGTTCTCTGCTTATTTTGTGGCTAGCAATTTGCCACCGCTACGCGTCCGTGGGCGAGTGGGAATGACGTGAGACTTTTAATCTTGAGGTCGAAGGTTCCAATCCGTCGCAGTTTTACTAATTTGAGTCTTTTTTCTACGTTTTCTTGTTTCTCTTTGTAGAACTTTTGGTGTAGTTTTGTCGATAGTGTTTGCAAAACGCAGCTTCGCCTCTGTATTTGAATTTGTTACTCGCATTTTATGTGTTTTTTTTATTTGGAAACTTTTTCACACTTTTTGGCCATGCGTTAAGAAACACTTTCACACATTTTGACGTTTTTGTAAAATTTCTCTAAAAATTAGCAAAGAATTCTTTTCTATTTATTGTCTGTTTTGATGGAAAAATGATGGGCAAATGTGATTTCGCTTAAATATACTGGAATGAAAATATTGGGGATAGTTCTAATGTCTTTAACAAAAATCTATTATTTAAATATAAAGAGATCACAAACAGTATGTCTTGAGCAGACTTGATTTTGACTAATTTGAAGTAATTTCTCTTCAGCTGCTTAGGTGAGTGGTTTTCTTTTCGAACATCATATGATATCATTGCGCTATTTATTCGTCAAGTTCAAAGTTTAATTATTGGAGTTATTTATTTCAAGCATTAATAAGATTGAGATTAACGTTTCAATCAAAAGTTCGGGCGATCTCGTTTCAATCAAAATTTCTGGTTAAGCTGTTACGCCCTATTGATTTTAGAAAAATATTTATAGCCTTTTGGCCGTTTTCGACAACTAATTTTGCCTTTTGCGAAAACTAACCTGCCAAATCTAAGATTAAGAGTTCAATTGCGTAAACTAGTGCTAGAAATCGACGTTGCGTAAACTGCCACGACCTAGTTTTTATTTTTGAAAAATGACCACAAAAACTATCGAGTTTAAAAAAACTTATAGATTTTTGAGTTTTCTCAAAAATTACTCGGTCAAATCTGAAATAAACAGTTTTTTTAGTAGAAAACTTTTTGTTGATTTTATCTGCACAAGTGGTGCCGCCCTAACTTTTTGATGAAAAAAACGTAATCGCCATAGTAAAAGCACTTTTTTGGTTTTTTAAATACTTTTCTCAAAAGCTATTATGCGAATTGTGAGATTAGGGGTTTAATCTGTTAAACAGTTAATAAGAATTTTCTCAGACTAACCACCCACGCCCTCATTTTGTAGAAGATATATTTTGGACGTAAAAAAGACATTTTTTCTCACGATTTTGACTGTTATTTGGGTTCATTTGTGAAAAACTCATTGTCGCAAATTCAATCAAAAAAAACAAACGCCAATAGTTTTTTCTGCCAAGAAAATAAGGCCTAATTTTCATAGAAAAGCAAAGTCGAACTAAGAAAAACCAGTGTTTTGAAATATGACCAGTTTTTGAAAACTTTTAGGCTTTTCTTATATTTGCCAGAGTAGTAAATGCAATGAGTTTTTTACCACCTTTTTTCTAAATAAAACCCTTAAACTAAGATTTGGCAGGGTATACACTGCCAAACCTAAATTAAAGGGTTTTATAGGGAAAAAATGTGGTAGAAAAACTCCTCACATTTTCGCTATGCCCTAAATTTTTGTGGAAAAGCGCAGTTTGATCTAGCAAAAGTTCACTCATTTTTGTTCGGTTTTGGAAATTTTTTTGATTTTCTGGAGATTTCAAGCGAAAGAGTAATCTATAGGAGTATGCCCTGCATAAGTAATTTTTCACAATTTTATAAGGAATCCGCTATGAAATTTGGAAATATTTGACCGTTTCACCCATTTTCGGACTTTTCGAAAATTTCTCAAAAACGAACATGACAATCCTGAAATAGAAAATTTAATCAAACAGATGTTTCAATTTCCGGACAAATGCGTGTTATCCATAATTTTGGTAGCTGTTCGTCAATTACGTTTTTGGTAAATGTCGAACTTTTGACGTTCTGGCACAATTTGAAAATAACGCGTTACCTTTCGCATCAGTCATTTTTTGAAAACTGTTATCAAACATTATCATCTCTAGCGAGGCCCATTGCGGTTCATTAATGTTTTGCAGATACTAAGAAGGGTGAGTTATGAACTTTGCAGAATTTTGATTAGCTTACTTTTTTTTGTTAATTTTTCATAATTTGACCATTTTAGATCTCTATGCCCTTGTTTCACTTGTGCTTGCGAAGCTTACGGCTCTGTGTAAAACTTGTTTTTAGTGAAGTTTTTGTAGTCAGAAAATTTGTAAGTAGATTCAAATGTTTAAAAGAGGAAGTCTTTTAGAAATTGTCACTTAGAGCACCAAAAAGTTAAGATCTAGCTTGACTCCAAGTGTCTCCGAGCGAGGAAACTGGACCATTGTGTGTAAATTCCCTTCCAAAAAAACTTTTGAAAATAAAAGCTCAATTGGGTCATGAAGGAGAGAAGAAATATTATTTTATTAGTTTCATTAGAAATCATGGCTTGCCGATTTTTTTGTCGAAAAACATAAGGAAACTTTTCCAGATTTATTTTCAACTGCTGAACACTATATTTATCAGATGATTATTTATACTTTTAGTAGCAAGATCAAGTGTCTTGTAGTCGTGAACTTGCCTTTTTTGCTGGCAACCTTCTTAGAAACTGTGAGAACATAACTTGCTCTAATATTAACCTTGCGATAAGCAATAGTGTTGCAACCGGGTCCCAGTCATTTTTCCCGTAATCATTGCATATACTGTACTTTCCTCAACTAATAGACAAGATTTTGTGCATGTGTTATGTTGATTGTAAATTTACCAACTCCGATTTCGGTATATCTGATTTTTCCCTTTTTTCACCTTTTCTCTTTTCGGTTCGAAATGTTTATGCTTATCACTTATCGTTTTAGCAGCCTCAATTTTGAAAGCTTGAATAGCAAAATAAGTTTAAGTCTTTTTGTTTTGAGGGGGACTTCAAAACTTTTGCTTTTAAAATTGTCTGCTCAAGAATTGTTGGCTTTGTTACCGGTCAGTTAGTCTTGTTTGATGCTAGTGTTACATTCAATTGTTCTACTTAGCAAATTTTTTTAGAGAATTGTTTTTGAGGCATAATCAGGACGATGATAATATAATTTTGGAAGATAAATTTTTTCATTTTCGACAAATTTCAATAAGTTTTTTGGCAAATTTTTTTCTTTTCGTTTCTTCTTTTATATCGGCTTAAAAGTAAATTTTTGGTCTACAGTTAATAACTGATTGGCCTTGGTTGGGCCAATATTATAGAGGTTTGTAGGCCGTCGTTCGATGAGTGGTAGAGTTTTGTATGCGTATGCGTGTTTCGAGGGGAGGGGAACTTTTCATTAGGTTTCAATTCTTTTCGAGTTTTCTCCGCTCATAGGGTTTCTACTCTGGTGTTTTTGGCTATTTGCCGCTTGGTAACTATTTATTTCGTCGCTTTTTTTCTCATTTTGTTCTTTTGGCGTTTTTCAAAACTAGTTTTATACATTTTGATGGATCTATTTTATTCGACATTTTTGTTGTTTCTTTTTCGATTTCTTTTTTGAATTAACGGCTCTCTTGTTTTGTATCGCAAGTCGCGAGAAGTGAGCTTTGCCTCTGTGATAAACCTTCACCTTCACCAGCATCCTTCCCATTTGGGTCTTTGCATCCTAAAATCTGATGTTCCAGTCCCGCCCGGATGTACTTTTTTTCAGTAGGTTTGAAATTGAAAAAAATTTTCCGGGAGAAATTGAATGTACGAGTTTTGTTTGTGTCTAAAAATTAGATGCCCCCTTCCGGATTTTTTCCTGTAAACGTTGTAGTTGAAGCGTAGCTGGGTTGCTTCTTCATTTTTTTAAACCTGACATAGCATATTTTTTCATCCTTTTTGGTGTTTTCATCAAATTGAAGCTTTATTTGACCAAATTAACTTCAAAATAAGTTTTATTGAACTACTCAATTCACTTTGGGTCTTATCAAGGGCAAAATTGACTTCATTAAAAAAATAATTCAACTTCATAGGTATTAATTAATGGTTGTTTTCAACTCAATGGGCGTCTACCCAAGTAATGCCGGCTTAGTGCCTGATCGCTTCTAACTTTAAGTTTATTTAATGCTAGTGCTGATGTTTCGCAACAGTTTTTCTGAAGTTAATATTACACAAATAATTTCAAATTGTTTTCAAATTTAAATATTTTTTCTATACGCTAGCTCGCAATAATAAACTTGCGTGAAATTTGGAAACAATGGTGCCAACAGTTGAGGTTGGTACAAGTTGTAACAATATTTGAATAATCGTTACCCGATTACAATCAGAAGGTAAATTCAATTGTAGCAAATAGAACAAATTTTTTTGAACGTTTTCAGGTTTATTTTGTTCTGCACGTACAAACGCTGTCTTAAAATACAAATACAAACAAGGATAACCGGTCTTTAAAAAATTTTAGAATGGAAAACTGGAACTTAGATTTATTCGAGCAGCATAGAAAATAGGCAAATTGGAAAGCAATGTTTGTAGAAAATGACTAGAAAAACGAAAAAACGTTTTTCAAATTTTTTGCAGAAATTTTTTGAAATTTGAAAAAGATTTGAAATTTTTGAGTCCCGACATTGCGCAAAATAAAGTGTAAAAACTAAATTTACTCGAGTAAAACTAAATTTCACAGCTTAAATTAGGCATAAATAGGCTATTGTAAGCCTGCTTACTAACGATATCCGCTCGATTTTAGATTAAACCTCAAAAATTTCCTACGGTTTTTCTTAAGACAGAAAAAAACTTTTTCAAATTTTTTTCTAATGTCGGTCGAATCATGGCAGAAAGAGCCTTATTATGATATATCACTCGACATATTACGACGATTATTTTTTGCACATGATTTTGCGTGGAAAAAAAAGGATTTTTTTTAAATAGAAAAAAGTGCACTATTTTTTTTTAAATTATTGAAAAGTTTTTCTCATCTTTCATTTCAATCGACTTGAGACTGCCCGAATTGTTTTTAAATTTAATATTGAGACTTATAGCAAAAAGTTAGAACCTTCAAAATTCTATAATAATTGCACTCAGACCGTCGCTTTTATGGTAGTTTCCAGAGTTTTATCATATGAATTCATATGAATGAAAGCAATTAGAAAAATAAGCTGATAATAAATTGATTTTCAAAGATTTGGCTGAAAAAAGTTCATTAATCAGCAATATGGCAAAATGTATAAATTTAGCATCAAAATAATTTCTGTGAATACATATAAAAGAAGTCAAAATTTTATACTTTTGTTTTTCTATGATTTAAATGTTCTCATGAAAGTTTATAGTAAATGAGAGTAGCTAGTAGGGTGAGAACAAAAGAAGAAGGCATTGAATCAAGTTTCCGTGAAAAGTTTTTCTTGCCAACTTCAATATCATCTTGATTAAAATCGTCGTTGACATAAATGTGACCGTCGTCATCCAAGGAAACTGGAGGGGGAAGGGCCATTAAGGGGAGAGTAGTGACCCGAGGAAGATTGGTTTTCGGAGGCTGAGTCATGGTCGGAGGAATAGTAGTAGTCGGAGGCGTTTTGGTGGTCGGAGATTTAGTGGTGGTCGTAGGGAGAGTGGTAGTCCCAGGCTTAGTGGTGGTCGGATGCTTAGTGGTGGTTGAAGGGAGAGTAGTAGTCGGAGGCTTAGTATAAGTCGGAGGTTTAGTGGTAGTCGGAGGTTTAGTAGTAGTCGGAGGTTTAGTGGTGGTCGGAGGTTTAGTAGTAGTAGTCGGAGGTTTAGTGGTGGTCGGAGGGAGAGTGGTAGTCGGAGGCTGAGTCGTGGTCGGAGGGAGAGTTGTAGTCGGAGACTGAGTCGTGGTCGGAGGGAGAGTGGTAGTCGGAGGTTTAGCGGTAGTCGGAGGTTGAGTCGTGGTCGGAGGGAGAGTGGTAGTCGGAGGTTTAGTGGTAGTCGGAGGGAGAGTCGTGGTCGGAGTGTGAGTGGTAGTCGGAGGTTTAGTAGTAGTCGGACGCTGAGTCGTGGTCGGAGGGAGAGTTGTAGTCGGAGGCTGAGTCGTGGTCGGAGGGAGAGTTGTAGTCGGAGGCTGAGTCGTGGTCGGAGGGAGAGTGGTAGTCGGAGGCTTAGTAGTAGTCGAAGGCTGAGTCGTGGTAGGAGGGAGAGTTGTACTCGGAGGTTGAGTGGTTGTCGGAGGGCGAGTAGTAGTCGGAGATTTAGTGGTAGTCGGAGGCTGAGTCGTGGTCGGAGGGAGAGTTGTAGTCGGAGGCTGAGTCGTGGTCGGAGGGAGAGTGGTAGTCGGAGGTTTAGTAGTAGTCAGAGGTAGAGTCGTGGTCGGAGGGAGAGTAGTGGTCGGAGGTAGAGTTGTACTCGGAGGTTGAGTGGTTGTCGGAGGTTGAGTCGTAGCCGGAGGGAGAGTGGAGGTCGGAGGCTGAGTGGTGGTCGGAAGGAGAGTGGTGGACGGAAGGAGAGTGGTGGTCGGAGGTTGAGTGGTGGTCGGAGGGAGAGTGGTAGTCGGAGGCTGAGTGGTGGTCGGAAGGAGAGTGGTAGTCAGAGATGAAGTGGTGGTCGGAGAGGTAGCGTTTGCTGAAGGCTTCCTCTCTAACGCAGAGTTCTCAATGAGACTCTTGTTGATAAATTCTGTATGGGTAGGGGTAGCTGTAGAGTACGCGTCGGCTAGAGGCGGAGTGATGGTCGCAGGAGGAATAGAGATTGGAGGGGCGGAGCTTGTATGAGGCTCTCCCTCGGATAAAGAACTATTGATTACACTATTTTTGAAAATCGTAGGAGGGGTAGACGTGGCTGTAGTATTGGCAGTGCCCGGAGACAAAGCTGTGGTCCAAGGAGTAGCGGTGGTCGGAGGCTTCCCCTCCGATGAAAAGTTCTTGGTGAAACTATTGTCTAAACTGGTCGGGGGAGCTGTAGCCTGAGGGGGAGCGGTGGTTTGAGGGGTATCGGTGCTCGGATGGTGATAAAGAGCGGTGATTGAAGTGTTAGTGGTGGTCAGAAGCGGATTGGTGGTCGGAGGCAGGGTAGTGGTTGAAGTGTTACTGGTGGTCGGAAGCGGATTGGTGGTCGGAGGCAGTGCGGTTGTTGAAGTATTACTGGTGGTCGGAAGCGGATTGGTGGTCGGAGGCAGGGTAGTGGTTGAAGTGTTACTAGTGGTCGGAAGCGGATTCGTGGTCGGAGGCAGGATAGTGGTTGAAGTGTTACTGGTGGTCGGAAGAGGATTAGTGGTCGGAGGCAGTGCGGTTGTTGAAGTATTACTGGTGTTCGGAAGCGGATTGGTGGTCCGAGGCAGGGTAGTGGTTGAAGTGCTGCTGGTGGTCGGAAGCGGATTCGTGGTCGGAGGCAGGGTAGTGGTCGGAGGCAGAGTGGCGGTCTCGCAGTTTAAAGAAGCGTACCCTTCGTCACATTCGCACTGATTAGTTACCGAGTTGCAATTTCCGTGACCAAAGCAGTTGCTAAAACAATTAATTTGATTATGTTTTTGATGTGCAATTTGTCAGTTTCATTTCTACAGCGTCATTTTTCAAGGGGCTTGAGCAAAATTTGCTTGAGGGGAACCAGTTTTTTAATATTGAAACACAGTTTTTTTTATTGACCAAACGGGTTTTCCGAGCTCTTCTAATCTGGTGGAAAGAATATATCTTTATTTATTTAATCTGCGTTAATCTTTTTAAGAATCGTGCAACAAAATTTTTTGTTTACGCTTGCGATTAGCAAAAATGATCAAATCTGAATGTAGATTTTTCGGGGTTAACAACTAGTTTAACAAAATCAGTTGAATCAGTTATGATGCTGCTATGCAGCTGACTTGCTATATTTCATGAAAATTTAAATCCGACTACTTCAGGGGGACTTGAAACTTTTCAAAGAATTTTAGAAAATGAGTTTTTTTTCGGCTCAACTGGTGTCTACTCAAAAATTGTCGGCCTTTTTTCTGCTTCGTAAGTTTTTTTCAGTGCTAATTTGAATTTCAAATATCGTGTTTGGCATGCTTGCCCAGAATTCCTGTTTGATAAAATCAGGTATTATGAAAAAATATGCATACTCTTCTGGTTTTTTTTTTGTTCTATTCCTTTGTCTACAGCCTTCGAAGAAGTCTGTGAGGGGATTATTTTACCGATATTTTTGGCTTTTTTTTTGTTTTCTCCAAAACTAACTTACCAAATCTGAGTTAATTTGTTCAACCAATAGAAAGCGTTGAAAAATCTCCCTCCATAGACACCCATTTTTTTATACATAAAATTATGGCCCTCAGAATAAGCAAACTTTTCTCGAGAACTACCCTGCCAAACCTGGGATTTTGACTTAATTAGAAAATGCAGGTTGGGCAAATCTTTTCTGCGTGAGCGGCTACGTTTCTTTAAACAAAAGGCTATGAAATTCGGAAATGTCAACTATCTGATTTGTTGACCGTTTCTTGGACGTTTTTGACAACCATCCTGTCAAATCTACTATCGTAGGTTTAATCGATAAAATACATTGTTGGCAGCTTAGTTTCATAATTTTTTGCGTCCAGTTTTTTTTTAAAAAGATTATGGCCTTCAAACAAGTGTGAAATTTTTTTTAACTTTGACCGTTATTTGGAAGTTTTTTTTCGACTTTACTCAAAAATTACCGGGCCAATTCTCAGGTTAACTGTTCAATCAAGAAACCCGGTTTTGGAAATCTTCTCTGCTATACCGGCCACCTTTTTCTTTTAGCAGAGAACAGTTACGGATTTCCGAAAAGTCAAGTTTTAGAATTAAGAACGTTTTTTGATAAATTTACGAAGAAACGAAGAAATTTTTGACTTTTCTTAAAAATTATATCAAACCTGAAATGAAACGTTCAATTAAAAAAAAAGTCCGCGAACTTTTACTGCAGAAGCTGCTACTCAGTAGTTTGGTTTTTTGTAAGAGAAATTTTATGACTTAGGGGAAATTCGAAAATCTCTTCATTTTTTGAAAATACGCATTTCGTCCCGCATCAGTATAGCAACTTCAAAAAACATCAAGCACGTACCACCAGCTAAAGTTGTGGCCTAGGTGTACTTATCGAGACTTGCAAAAATTTAGCTTGACTTAGTTTTTTTCAACTTTTTTTCATTTTTCTACTTATGCTTTTTTTTGATTGTGTTGTATCGCAAGTGTTGCGAAGTTGCGCTTCGCCTCTATGTTGAAATTTTAATTTTTGAAGTTAAAAATGCCTATTTGCGCGCCCTTTAAAATGGTTTAATGTTGTGATATGGGCTCGCTGTTCATTTTAGAAATAAGGATTGTGTAGTGAAAATGGGTGCGATAAAATCCCAATAAGCTCCCCTAGTTTGTACACGCTGTTATCCTTGCACAATTAAAGAATCTCAACAGCTGCCTTAACATAAAAACCCGGCCTATGTGTACATTCTTGACCCCCCTCCCCCTCTAACCACCCACTTATACACACACAGACACGCACATACACACACACACACACGTACACACACACACACACACACACACACACACACACACACACACACATAGACCAAGTGAACTTTCTCCTTCACAACCAAATAGAACGATATCTTAACTGGCAATTTTTGATAGTTTTTTTTTTCAGTTTAATCGAAAAATTTTGTAGTTCTGAGCTCAAAACTGAAACGATATTTCCCCATTTTTGTCGAAAAATATTGTTGTCCTAAGCTCAGAACTAAAAAGACATTTCACCATTTTTCGATATTTCACAATCAAGTTATGGGGGTTTAAAGATTGCCAATTCAGTCCAATTTGGAACAATTAACCCGCATTATAAGCGGCGATACAGTGCTGATTTAAATAATCCGGACAAAACGAACAATTTTTTTTAATAATAGCCAAATCAAATTTTGGATCTAAAATCCTCTAACAAGCTAAAATTTCAAATATGTTTCTGAACCGTGAATTGTTTTTGGATTGTTTCAATATCAACTAAACTACAAAACAAAAATGAGATTGAAAATGTTTTAATCGTTCAACGCCACCTAACAATTTTTTGCGGTGCTTAATCATTGGTGAACAAAAGTTTCGTGGTCAGAACTACAAATGGAGTAGTAGAACTGGAAAAAAATCTTTTTTTTTATAAAACGGATAACGATTTGTAGATCCAGCATGCTACTAACAAGACTGCTGGTACTTTGACACAGTGCTGATTAATGCTGGCATACATCTCCTGGGCTTTTGCTTTTTTTAACGATAACGTTTGATAATTTGGTATGTTATAACTTACAAGGGACAAGTTGTGAGAGCTGTTATTTGAGACACATGGGTGCATTGCTTGTTGTGGCAAAAACTATCTTCAGCGCACCAGATGCCATTGCGCACGTAGGACCAATCATCGGCGACATCCGAATCAGGAAAGAGCCACTCAATTGTATTACACTTGATGGGCGAGTTGGGCCAGCTCTTAGAGAACTCGCCAACATCGACTAATGTAATAGGCTTGACTTCACTGTCAAACACGCAATTGAGTTTTCCGCACCTGAAATGAAATTTCAAAAGATTATAAAACTGCTATATATGTGGAACAAATTTAATGTCCTTTTGCTCAAATCGAACTGTTGATTGACTTGGACTAGTACTTTTTATGATTAACTGGTCATAAGAGGTCAAAATTTAATACGGAGGGACATTTATTAATCGTCAGTTTGAACTCTGTGAGAGGAAAAATTTTTGAAAAATTGGAAATAAAATTTTCAGTTTTTTTTTTTCAATGATTCAAGTTATTTTCTAAATATAACAACTAAATTGAACTTATTAAGTGCAATAAAAATACTCGAGGCCTTTGGTCTGATATATGCGCTCTTTTTTCTCATTATAAAAATTTTTAAGCAGAATGATATCCATACTTGACGCGTTGTGCGCAGTAAAACAACTCGAAATACGAGCATTCTTTACAATTACGACCTGCTAACGCAAAATTATTTTTCACCCCTCAAAATAGTTAGCTACTTTGTTTTGAATGCAAAGCACTGAAATCCTGGGAAACTTGAGTTTTTAAACAAACTAACAGTTAAATAAATTCGGGCGCGATTTTTTCTCATTATAAAAATTTTTAAGCAGAATGATATCTATACTTGACGCGTTGTGCGCAGTAAAACAACTCACAATACGAGCATTCTTTACAATTACGACCTGCTAACGTAAATTTATTTTTCACCCCTCAAAATAGTTAGCTACTTTGTTTTGAATTCAAAGCACTGAAATCCTGGGAAACTTGAGTTTTTAAACAAACTAACAGTTAAATAAATTCGGGCGCAATTTTTTCTCAGAGCGGGTGTATAGTTTGTCTCAAACTTATGGGGTTTCAAAACTGACAATTTGGCCAAATCGGGATAACTATTGCACACTGGTTATCAATTTTTTTTACGCGTCGCGTAAGTGGCTACCCAATTCGGCTCACACCTAAATGACTACTTCAAATACTTTAAAGAGCCATCGGAACAGTAAGGGCTCCTCCAAAATAAGAGCAGTCTTATCAGTCTTATCAAAATATTATCCTCACTGATGATAGTAGTCAATATTTCTAGAAAAAAAAATTCGCTGTTAATAATTTCGTATAGCATAGTAGTAAGGCGTTCTTTTTGAAAGCACCACATCGTGTTTTCTATCCCCGACATGAAAATGATAGTCGATAAGGATGAGTTCTCATTTAAAGTCAAATATAAGGTCTACCACAGCCTGACGGATTTGGGCTGCAATAGTTGTACTACGTTAAATTTCTAGACGCAAAAACGACCATGAGTTGTAAAAAAAGAGCATCACTCAACAGCATGTTTCAGTCTGGAATAAGGGGAAATAATGGAAATGGTCTATCTTTAGTCAGGCCAGATATTTTTCATAGATCACATGCGAGAAGCAGAAATCATAATTATTGTTAATAAAATTTTGAGTGCGAGTTTGTAAGCGTAGAGTAATCATTCAGCCTCAAACCTTAAGAGTAATTATTTTTAAACTTTTATTGTGAGGTTTTGCCAAATGCTAAAGAACCTCAAATGCGATTTGTTGGCACAACAAAGGATACATGAAGGTATAAACATAGCCAACAGAGATGGAAAATATTCAATGAGCTGAAGTAAAAGAAAAAAAGTTATTTACTTGATTTTTGAAAATTTTGAATTTCAAAGTTGTAATTTTTTTAGGGTTTAATGAACGTTTTATCAATGAATGGAGGAAACTGTATCAAATGGTAAACTTATTATTCTGCTGGGAAATCTGAAAAATAAAATCCACTTTCAAAACTTGAATTCAATCATATTTTTTGTGACTTTTACACTTGAACTGAACTGAGAAGTAAATTAAAAGTCAAACAACAAAAAATCAAATTTGAACGTGAACAAATAAATCCTGAAAAATTCCTGACAAAAAATCACAAATTCTTCTTTTCCTGGTTTTTTTTAATAAACTGAATGATTTAATTTCAAAATTGATTTCATTTGAATAATCTAATGGATTTTCATTGAACAATACTACGTTGTAGTAATATCTTATTGCAACTTAATGTCTATTAAGTTCTATGTCTATTTAGGCTCAAAAATTGGACATTCAATTTGAATACATCCATAACCTGTATAGTTTTGCCTAACATGAAAAAAATTTTGTTTTGAACAAAACTTGTTGAAGGAGAATTTATCAAATTGATTACTTCTAGTTTTGCGGAAACTATTAAAAAATTAACTTCTTGTTTTTTTCGGATTTGACCTATTATTCACTTTCCAGTGTAATGGAATTATCTAATGAATTACCTCTGGTCTTCTTGGCTACACGCAGTTAGGTCCGCATGAAAACTAGAACCACAGTTTCCATATTGGTCGCCTCTTGTGTTGGAACTCCAGCATTCGTCTCGTTTGGCTGATTCAGGTCGTAAACCCGTGGGATTGTAAATTCTGAACCCAAATAGTTTTATAAAGACTAACGAATATTGCTAGTTTATAATAAATTTTACAGATCGTCGTTTCTAGTGAAAACAGCAGCCCCACAGAAACTTTTTTTACCACATTGAAAACAGTTCGCTTGAAAACCTCTTCAAAACTTGGCTTTTTGTCCAATTTCAAAGTGCTGAAATTTCGACAAAGTATGTTTATAAAAGAGTAATTTTGTTTCCTTCATAAGTTTATAGAAAAATTCAAGAATCAATGTTCAAAAATTGAAATTATATTTACTAAAGAGAAAGACTCAAGAAAGACCAAAGAATTTATTTACTTAAGGTCTGTTTGAGCGCCATAAATACCAAAAACACAAGTGCCAAAAATACAATGAATGCAACTGGTCGACAGAGAAACGCAAGACATAATCAAAAGCATGTCGACGTGGGGGGGGGGGGCGCTTTCCTCACTTCTGGTTGCCAAAATTTTGCGAGGGTACCTTTGGTACTATTCTACGACATACTTTATCGGTTGACTGGCCCTAAAAATTTCCTGATTGCGTTTTTGGCGCTAAATAGATCCTAAATTTGAAAGGCAAATACATTTTAAAAACTGCTATATTTTGATCAAAAACATCTAAAAAATAGCCTAAAATGTCGTTTTTGGCTTGTTTTTTTTTGTTCTCAAAAATTCAAGTGTGGCGCAGAAACTTTGACTACTTAGAGTCTCTACACTTTTTTTGCAAGGTATGGAAATTGTAAGATTAAGATTTCAGTCCACTCCGTCTTACTTAAGACATTGAGAGTAAACCGATCGACAGCTTCCCGCGTAGCAGTGTCCCGATGCTCCATCTGCAGTACATTCCATGCCTGCTCTGTTGTAGTCGTCATTCGGACACTCGGCACTGGTTCCAGTGCACACTTCAGTTACGTCACATTCGTTGCTCTCTTCTCGGCAGACGAATCCAGCACTGCGAACTTGACAGGTTCCAGGGTTGCAGCAGAGATCCATGGCCGAACATGATGCACCTGGATAGCTCAATCAGATTACCAAAAATTGGAGCATACTTTACTGAAAAAGAACAGTTGGGCTTTTCCGGAACAAACTTGGTTGCAAACATTATCTTTACGATAAAACTCACAATTCAAAGAGCCTGAAACATTTTATTTTTTCAAGTTTTTATAAACAAAGTGATTTTTCAATCGCAAAAATTTTCGAAATTTTGCAAAAAAAATTCATGCTCTTGAAATTGAAAATCAGTTTTATGAGAAATTAGCAAACGGTTTATTACAAACGCTTAAAATTAAATTAGTCAGGCATAGTTACAAAAAATTAACCACTTATTTACTGCTACATCAAGGTCTATTCAAAGAAGAAAGTTTTGATTAAAAAACGTTCACAGCATAATTCGGCTGGTCTTTACTGCATTTTGCGTAGACTGTAGCTGTGAATGAGTTGTCCTCTACCCACCAGCAGATTTAGGGGGGGAGGGGAGGGGCGGACACCTTTTTCCTCAGGAATTCGACCCCCCTTGTACTATTTTGAGATATCGATTTTTGACTGACTGACCCTAAATTTTTCTAAAAGTCCCTAAAATGCCTTTTTGGCTCTACCTGATTGAGCAAATTTTTGCCTGAAAAATTCAACTTAAGATTAACGTTGATATTTGACTGTGACGAAGAGGTGTCGTGACCAGTTCTAGCAAACCCAAAAAATACTATGATTGAACTCAATTATGTTTCCGCTGAGAAATTCGACTAGCTGAGTTATTTCGATAACAATCTGATCATCAGTGAGATAAAAATCAAACAGCATTGAGTTTAATTTTCAACAGCCAGCAGAAAAGTGGAAAAGTATCAATGACCTTGTAGAAATGATCAACTTTGTTTGAAAAGTTTTTAGTTTTTAAAATGCAATAAAACGGAAAAGTGAAACACATTATGTTAAAATTAATCGAATTTTAAGAATTTTATTTGACTGTTTTTTTCACAAACTGGCCCGATTAGAGAAAACTGGGTCAAAAAATGTCTTTCAGGTTTTTTTGGAGAGCGTAATTTGCCTCCCATCAAGCAAACTAATTTGAATTCAAACTTACATGACTTCTTAAATCAAACCACACAGAAAATCAATCTTAAACGTGGTCAAACCTTAAAACTTTTTTGAAAAACATCATGACCTAAGTAAGAGTCTTCTCTTTGTTCAAACATACACTAAATTTGAATTCACAGCTGTTTCAGAGAAAAATCACGGTGTGCCATCTTTGACAAAAGCTCCGATTAGCATCAGGTTATCAATGATCAGGTTTCAATATCGATGAGTCAGAGCTGGAAACATCGTTTTAGAATTAATACTGAATCAATTATGAATCATTGTTTCTGAATTCTAAACGCATCATTGATTTTTGATTTTAGTGCTTTTATATGAGATATTTTTTTTTACCAGTGATGAGTGTACAGGTGTTGGGGTGACAGCAGGGGTCATCGCAGGTGTCCACTCCCCCACAATCACACTCCTCCCCCTCCTCCCTGTTCACAATGTAGTCCCCACAGAAGGGGGCATCTATATGTTGCACAGGTTCATTGTGCAGACACATAGAGTTACCTAAACGAGTAGTTCAAATCACCGGTCGATTTCTGAGCAAATTAATCTAAATTAGTCTGTATTTCCTGCATGGAACATGGATGCCCAATAATTTTTAAGAGAAATTAAAATATAAATTCTTAAAACGAATTTCCTTGAAAACCATTTTTTTCTAATTAAAAGTATTTTTTCCACATTTTGAGAAACTACGCCCGTCTTGAAAGTTGTTGGGTTACACGAGAGGCATACATTGATGTAATTTGGTCAGCGGTTGAATCTGTAGTCTTAGCGCATTTTTCGATTGACTGAAAAACCAAAGTGGCTCACTTTTAGGCTGCAATACTATGCCCAAATTTACCCAATAAATTCCCTAATCCGAAAACTGGCGAAGTTCTAAGCAACTTTTCTGTGCCTAACATCTACAAAATTTAGAAAAAAGTAATTGAATTTCTCAAATTTGTGCATTTTTCCGGATAATTTAAAAGATATCCAATTGAAAATTGAAAAAGAGTAATGAAGGCAAGGAAAAAAATTGACTTGTTTTTTGAAAAAACTTCGGCCTTCGAACTTATTACTCGTGTTTTTTGATAAAATTAACCCAATTTGAGAATACTGAATCAATTGGTAAAATTTTATTTTTGCTGGAAAATCTGATAATTAAATTCCACTCTGGAAATTAGAAGTCGACAAGTTTTTCGTGATTTTAAGAATTTTGCTGTTCGATAGTGGAGTTTGCCTTTCTTTAACAAAGGTTATGGAGTGAACTTACAAAGAAATCAAAAATACTACTTTCATTACTCTTAATTATAACTTCGTAAGCTTATAATATATGCATTTTGAGCAATTATCTAAATATGCATTTTTCGAAATTTTGTCCGCATTCTCAAACCAAATTTTTTTTTCCGACGTTTAGCTCCAGAACAAATTCAAGAACAAATCATATTATATTACTTCAGCGTCCTTACAAGTTTTAGTCCATGCACATCAGCGTGAAAAAATAAAGACGCCGGGCATTGTGCAAAGAACTTTAAAAACGCGAAAAATGACAAAAGGAAAATTAAGACTTTTTTGATTTTTTAAACAATTATTTTTTTGGGAGGAAATGAAGCGTATAGACCCCAAATGAATAACGCATACCTTGCAGTACATAATTGCATGGCATGATTCAGAAAAACAGCTTTTCGGGAAATTGTTGGAAAGTTTTTAATTGTTCCGACTTTCGTAACGAAAGTAACGGAATGATTGTGCTCAGGGTTCTTCAGAAAATTTTCGACTTTTTAACTAGTCATTTTTGACGGAATTTTTTATGTCATTTAAAAATTATTGTTCTGCTGAGCTTAAATTTGAAAAGATATTTTACTCGTGATTATTTTTTGTAAAGTTATGGAGGTTTGAAGATTGCGATTTCGGCCAATTTGGCACAATTAACGCACGATACAATTTGCGCTCTTAACGCGTAAGCGGTGATTTAATCCGTCTTAGAAATTGTTCCAAATTAGTTCAAGGAAGCTTATTTGCCATAATTGAATTGTTAATAGGAGCAAAATCTAACACATTGTACTCTATATGGCGTGTGGGGGGTTGATTTTCACAAAAAGTCTAAAAAAAAATTTCAATTTTAGTTTTATGTTATTACTTCAATTTTTTCATGTTTTTGCTGCTTCATAGACCTTAAAAGCAGTCGGAACATACAAGGCTTCGCCCTGATGCGAGCAGTCTTGTTCAGTTTTGAGTGTTAAATGTGAAAACTGGTGTTTTAGATCTGAAATAGGTACGGTAATTTAAAAGCTTATTGATATTATTAATTTCCTTTACAACACTCAATATTTGAGATTGACTCTTGGGGAAGGAAAAAGCTTGACAATTATTAAAAAGTTTCATCCAAAACTATTCGAGACTAGGTAAAAGTCAGCCGGAAGTCAGCCTTATCAGGGTTTTGTCATGGCAAGGGTAGCCTTATTTAACTAAAGGAAATTGACCGAGAGAGGTGAGCCTGAGTTTTTAACTAGTGTGATACAGTACAAAGCAATGCAAATGGTGTGAATTTTGGCTAGTGTATATACATACTCGTTATCGCCTGGAGTAAATTTTGGCTAATTTTTCCAGACTTGAGCGAACTTCAAGTGCAAAACTACATATGAAAATTATAATTATTTGTTTCAAATAATCAATTCAATCAGTTTTTACCGCGTTCCACAAAAATACAGATGAAAAAGATAAGTAATCATTTCAAACCGTTGGAAGTAATAATTTTAGATTTTTCTTACCGTGTTCCATGAAACTCTTCAGGGCTGCTTTTTGACAATCCGTAAACATTGTTGCGGCCCCATAGGAGGAACCGGGGGCATCCATGACACAATGTTCGCCAGAGGGGCAACTACAGGGGTCGTCTACGCCAGTGGGGTTGTGATTCAGTCCGAAATTGTGGCCCAGTTCGTGGGCCAAAATCTCCGCTTGCAATGCTGTCTCGTGAAAATACTCTTTCAGCCAACTGCCTAAAGTCAAACATTTTTATGGTACAAGTACATTAATTTTTGATGCTTTAGTTTTATTAGTGGCGCAATGCTACTCCCATGCTCCATTTTCAAACACTGATAGCCGAAAATAATCAAAAGTGCAAGAACTTCAAGTACATTTCAAAATATCATTGGTGCAATATGATTGACGCACCAATGATGGACTCACAAAGCATATATAATAAAACTACCATTAATATAAGAATGCCTGTTTGATTTACAAGTGGCAGAAAATACAATTGTAACAATTTTTGCATCAAGAACAAACTATTTTTATAATTGCGTTTTACTACAAGACAGGGGCCTAATCGTAATGCTGTTTGTCCTTTTGTAGCTATAATTAGCATACAGTCTCTAAATTAATTAAATTGATAAACCTCATAGCTCTGCATTGTAGTTAAAATGTAATTGTAGCAGAGATTATACTGGCCTTACCCAATTATACTGGCCTTACCTTAATGAAACAGTTTTCCAGATAAGCTTTACATACCTGAGTATTCGAAACTGCAAATCGATCCCAAGAACGCCCTGCCAATAGCAGTCGTATTATCAGTAAAGTTCTTGTTGCCGACGAGGAAAATGGCGTTGTCTTGAGTTGGGAAGCTTTTCCAATTACTTGTGTGGTAGTCCATAAACTTTTCCAGCAGTCCATCATCGGTTGTGTGACTGAATGTTGGGTCTGATTTTGGAGTTGTGAAGGTGTGAACATCTACCAGAGAGAGGTGAAGGTTGATGTCAGATATGTCGGCGTAGAAGAAGTCGGCGAAGTGAACTAGTTCTATGTCCCTGTCCAGAAGCTTCAACCAAAATTATCAAATCTTATCAAGAAATTAATCAGAAAACACGCAGCTGATGATTGAGTTATCAACACTTCAGAAAGTATTAAGTTATTAAATTTTCGGTTATCAAATTTTTTTGAATCAAACTTTTGGTTCATATTCTCGAAACTGTTGATTTCTTATAAGTTTGCCAGCTTCGAACGCAAAAGATTCAGTTATTTAGGTCATCCCCCAATCGGAACTTAATGTCCCTGATTCGAGCCTTATTCTTATTAATTTGGTGAACCGGATTACAAAGATTGTTAAAGTATCTGAATTGTTTGTTGTTTCGATTTTCGTAACGAAAAAGATACTGAAGGCGTGAATGATTGCTTTTCACAGCTCCTAAGAGCTATCCAATCTACTTGAGAAAAACTCATTCCTTAGCTCCCATTTTAAAAAATAGGAAAAATTGAATAACAGCTAAAAATAAATTTGAGTGTAATGAGAAGAATATATTGTAGAAAAGTAATGGAACAATAAGAGCGATTGTAATTTTGACAAGTTCCAGGAAGAAATTGGTCAGAAGCTAACTGAAAGAAATACAAAAAAAAACTCAAAATTTGAAAAATAATGTAGAGAAAGAAAACACAATGTTTTTTGAAATCATTTCACCCTCAGAAATTTATGAAGTAATTAAAAGCTTGAAGAAAAAAATAGCCTTGATAATTACAAACAAGGTATCAACCTAAAAAACTATATGTTCGTTTATATCTGAGCTACTGAGTTGCCTTTTTAATCAATGTTTAGAGTTGTCATACTATCCTTCATTTTTTAGGATTGAAAAATTTCAACAAACTCAAACAATAAATGGCACATTGTCAAATTGTGGTAGCTACAGATCTAAATCTATTCTATCAATTATGGAAAAAGTTTTCGAAATTTTGATTAATAATCGTTTGATAAGTTTACTGATTAAATATGATGTATTGACAGCATGTGAGTACAGATTTGTTATAAAAAAGCTTAGTTGATGCTATCTTAGAGCTCAGTGCAGAAATAGTCGAGAACCTTGAAGATGAAGTTGGCTCCGTGTGTACGCTGATAGATCTTACAAAAGCTTTCGACACAGTTGATCACAAAATTTTACTGGAAAAGTGCGAATTCTACGGTTTATGAGGTCAATCCTAAAAATTCGTCAACAGTACCTTAGTTACAACAATTCAGTATCAAACACTAAAACAATCTACTATGGCGTACTACAAGGTTCAGTCTCAGGTTCTTTGTTTTGTTTGCTGTATTTAAATGATTTGCCAATTGTCTGTCGGCATCATAAAATTGTACTGTTTGCTGATGATTGCGCTTTATATTTAACAACTAAAACAGGAAATCAGCGGCAGGTGAACACTGATACAAGCAATGTTGAAAATTGGTTTATGGAGATTAAGGTTACCATAAATAAGGATAAACCAGCCAACGTTAGAATTTAACAGGAAAAAATCTCTACCAATAGATCCCATAAGTACTTAGGTCTATTAATTGATGAAAAATTAAATTTCAAAACACACATCGATAAAACTTTGGAAAAGGCAGCCAAATCTTGCTCGATGATCTATCAATTCAAATATTATTTAAAAACATCTACAGTGTTCAAGATATAGAAAGAGTATGTTCAACCAATATATCAATATAGTGTGCTGATCTACGGCTCAGCTAAAAATACAGACTTGAAAAGATTGAAAGCAGGCAAAGACTCGTGTGGAGGAACTGTTGTAAAATTGAAAAATGGGAAAATCTGAATTATGTCTGGGACAAACATAAACTTTGTTTGGTTCAAGAGTTACATGTATAAGAGCTTTTTACAACAAACCCATGGTAAAAAGTATAAGACGATCTTTTGGAAACAAAAACTTCTTGAATACATAAGTGAACAGGAGATAGCAGATACTATCAAAACAGGCAAAACAAAAAAAACTTCGCAGCCGAAATTAGCTTCCTACAAGAGCAAAAGAGAAAATTGAAAATAAGATTCGTATTTTGTATTATAAGTTCATACAGTTGGATATTTTTATTCTTCTCGAAGCGTTAACAACCACCAATGGATTTTTGGAAAAGATTTTTCCTCAAAATAAGAGACATATATGTTTTTGAAAACGAACATTTTCAAGTGTGTTATGGTAAATTTGCATCCTTTCGTGATAGTACTTTTGCTCATTTTATTTTGATTGTTAGACAACACCAAAACAAACTGACTTTTTTATCTTGTAGTTTTTTTTGTGATATTTGAGGAAAATTTGCGGTTATTTTGTCTATATGGTCTCAGTTATACGAAAAAGTAGGCAAATAGTTTTTGCTCATGGAGTTGCCACTTGACAGGCTGATGCCTTTTTGGTACTCTCCCAAGCCGAAATTTTATGTAAATGTACATTTTCATAGTATGTATAGTTATAAGTTTTGGCTTGAAAATAAAAAAAAACTAATATTTGTGCTCGTGTGGGTTTTTTTCAGACAAAATTCGGCTTTTTAACTAGCAAATTGAGGAAGTATATTTTTTAACTGTGATCAATTTTCGTTTCTACCTGTGATCATTTTTACCTGTGATTTTATTGTACCTGTGACCATTTTTCTTTAAACCCCCAAGTTATGGCGGTTTAAAGATTGAAATCATTCCAAGTTGGTTAAAGGAAACTTATTTGCAATAATTTATTTGTTATTATGAGCAAAATTCATCACTTTTTGTACTTTATATGGCGTGTGGGGAGATAATTTTCACCAAAAATCTCAAGTTTAACAAAAAAAAATTTTTTAATTAATTTTTTTTCTTTTACACTTAATTTTTCCATGCTATCACTATTTCATAGATCTTAAAAGGCAGTCGGGACATTCAGAACTTTGCCCTGAAACGAGCAGAGAAATCTTGTCCGTTTTATTGGTTGAACAGTTCTTGTCCTAATATATTAGCTATGTAAAATTATTAACAAAACCTTTTCATTTGTTATTTATGAGATTATGTTTATGTTTATGTTGCCGTTATCAGGCGTCTTTCAAAAGAAATTGTCGCTTGTAAATTTGAAAAAAAATATTTTTTGAAAACATATAACGTAAGACTAACATCTTGTTTTGAGGGTCCGAACATTGTGTAATAATCATATGAATGGAACATCATGATTTCCACATAGCTCCTTTCGTGGGCGTCCTGCCCATTTGTTGAGTTTGTTAACTCCGAATCATTTCTGCTCTTCGTGGGGTTGGAAACTTCATTACTCGTTTTCGGTCCAAGCCCTGTTCCGTCTTTGGCTTCTGCAGTATCGCAACTTCTGTCGTCGTTTTTCAGATCTTTCCGAATGTGCTCATTCGAAAACATGATCCATTTTCCATTTGCAGTGTCAGTGTACAGCGTGAAAACTTTTCCATTCAGAGAAATCAATCCAGAAAGTTCTCGAATATTCTGATCTTTCTTATCACAGAATTTGATCCGAACTGGGCTATCGCTAAGGGCAACTTTGTCCTTTAAAACGTATCCTTGGTAAAGGCATTTCGTGACCGTCGATTTCAAGTGAGGACTGTGCAAGCTTCCTCTTTGGGTCAAAATTAAATCGATGTTTCCGATTTCGGTATTGTCAGTTGTCAAACGGAGTACGGTTGATCCTTTCTCATCACTGGGTTCAGTTTTTACTGATGAAATTGTAACCCAAGATTCGACCATGTCCGTTATTTTCTCTGACTTTACTAAAGGAAACATCACCGCATTTAGGCTGATAAATAACAACCAAAGCATTGTTCTTAAAAGCTATTATACAAAGATTGCAAGAAAAAATGTGGTTTTACCCACAAGTTGATAAATTCAAAACTATAAGCCGCCTGCAAAATTGTCACAAAACAATAATCTTACAGATATAGATTAAAGAGATACAAACAGATACTGATACAATAGATTAAACTACAGATTCGATTATTTTCAAAAAGGTATGTTTCTTCGGTCAAAAAACTTCGTGAACAATTTCACGCCAGACAATTAATTTCCACGTGAATTTAAAAGTGATCACGCGTTCTTACAAAAAAGTGTGTCCTTCCACCTGAGCAAGTCTCATGAAAAAAGGACCACGGCAGCAAACGCATTTTCATTTTAAAACACATGATACGGTCGGTCTTTAGTGGCTTCTAGAGTTGATGAAAGTTTATATTGTTATATGAGTTCAATCGAAAATGCGCGATAGCTCGCTTAGATTAACAGCATAATTTGATTATTAAATATGATTTTTCTTTCGTCGCATTTACATGAAAAATCAAAATGATTTTACTACAAAAACACGAGATCTCAGGGGCGGATTTAGGGGGAGAGCGAGAGAGCGGACGCCTCCCCTTCCCCCTCCCCCCCCCCCTCAGGGATTCCAACCCCTGCCAACCCAAAGGTACTTTTTAAGAAATCCATTTTTGGCCGACCGTCTCTAAAATTTTTCTAAGGGCGCCTTTGGCGCCAAGATATACTAACTTAGAGGGGGAGCGCCCAAAAAGTGCCCAAAAACGGCCAAAAATTTGGCCAAAACAGCGTCTTTTTACTGCTTTAGGAGAGCTCGGAAAATCAATTTGGTCGACATAAAAAAGGTCGTCAACATTTTTTGAAAATCCGCCCCCCTCGAGAAAATCCTAGATCCGCCCCTGCGAAATCTGATTGTAATTTTATTAAAAGCTCATGGAAAAAACATGATTTTTTTTGCAAGATTTGTAGCACTAGTACCTAAAATTTTACGAAAACTCAAAAACTGAACTCTATGCTTCAGGTGGAACCAAAACGACCAAAACTTCCATAAATGAAAAATTTCATAACGTATTTGATTTTATTTTAATATATACTTCCATATAACAGAAAAACTTAATGAAATCTTTATAATTAACATATCCCCAATCATATGACTAGCATAGGATGGTTCAAGCAATCTCAAATCCCCCATCTCAAAGAGGGAGAGGGAGAGGGGGGAGATAACGTATTAAGTAACTCAAGCCTGTTTATAACCACTTCAACTATTTTTAATTGTTGAAACTTATACGCCAGACTCACCTCCAAACGCGGAGAACTAAAAATCATATCACATTACGAAAACTCAAAAACTAGATCCAAAGAAAAAATGGCAAAATTTGTCCGAGATTAAACAGGAATTTTCCTGTTTCGAATGAGGGCAAATGTAACCTTGAATGTGTTTTCATGGTGTCGTACTGTTTTTTGGCACAAGTAGAGGCCAGAGCGCCAATCCTGGTAATTTGCCTGCATCGAAACAATAACACATATTTGATTGTTTTTCCAAAAAAAAACTTTCTCGACCTTCTTATAAAAAAATATTGCGTCGGCCAATTGATTGCAAGCTAAATTTACATCAATCAATTGCTCTTGAACCAGTTAAACTCTACTTAGCTTGCAATCAATTGGTAGACAGATTTTTTTTGAAGACTGTTGAGAAAAACTTTCTGGAAAAAAGAAACAAAAGTGGTTCTGAAGATTCTTCATCTAAGTTAATAAACTAAATTTCCCCTACATTATAAGTCATAATCATAGTGTTTTGTATTCAGCTTGAACAATTTCACGATAAAATAATAATAAATCAAGCATCCTGGCCTGCTGTTTGATTGAATAAAGTTTATCTTATCATGAAAAAAGGAAACCTTGTGGCTCTACAAAAAGTATTCATTTTCTGTTTTTTTTTTCGGTGAAAATCTGAGCACCGATTAGAACAAAGACGAAAATATACGAAAAAATACAGAGTTACTTTTGATGAATCTTATCTCGGAAACAAATTGTTGGAGCACAGAGTTGATGGAGTGTTTTTTGGCATTGTGACTGCCATTTCAATTAGAAATGAGCTTTGATGTTGCCGTGTAACATATGATAAGATTAGTTCTACTCAGAAACCAATCCACATTATATTGAGACAAACAAGGTGCGAAAGATTTGCTTTATCAACGAGAAAATCTGTCGTTTGATAATTCGAAGTTAGAGTGTCGGATTGAGATTTAGAAAAAAAAACAGTTTTTCGTTTTTTGTTAATTGTAAGGTTTTCGAACTAAATTACTTCAACTCATTAAACGTAAGGAAGAAAGGCTTCTACTGCTTTAGAATGATTTGTTTTATAAAACTGATGCGTTAACTTAAAGCAGAATGCAACTTAGAATAAATGAAATACTTTCTTCACAGCCTTTTTTGCGCAAATGTAAGCGCAAAGTTTGGTTTATTGGACTTCGTAAGCCATGTGTACGTATCTGCTGCAGATCCTTTCAAATTTTAAAAGAGCTATCGTATCAATTGTTTTCTATAGATTTGTAAACAAGCAGATACCATATCTGAAAATAAAACTATGCCACTACTGAAAACAGTTTATATTGGTATCCAAGTTTTGCTCACTGAAACTCTTTGAAACTGCTCGTTTCTAAAGCTTTTTGAAAGCTGGTAAAAAGAAAATGAGTAAAAAGTTATCGTATCTTGTTTCTGAACTGCATTTATGGAAAAATTCGTTTACTTGGGCAATTTTGAGTGCAGCCATAGAAAATCAAAAAATATATATTTGAATAGCTCAGCAAGAATTTTATAATTTTATAAGTTTAGGGATTGCCAGGGTTTTCAATCCTGGCAATTCATTTGTGAACGAAGCTTTAGTTTGATTGTGTTTTCTTAGGATTGGTTCAGCAGGTTTTCTATGCAATTGATATAATTGCATCAAATAGTTCAAAAAAACCTCATCACCAGTTTCATCACCATTTTCTCTTTGGGTCAAAATTAAATCGATGTTTCCGATTTCGGTATTGTCAGTTGTCAAACGGAGTACGGTTGATCCTTTCTCATCACTGGGTTCAGTTTTTACTGATGAAATTGTAACCCAAGATTCGACCATGTCCGTTATTTTCTCTGACTTTACTAAAGGAAACATCACCGCATTTAGGCTGATAAATAACAACCAAAGCATTGTTCTTAAAAGCTATTATACAAAGATTGCAAGAAAAAATGTGGTTTTACCCACAAGTTGATAAATTCAAAACTATAAGCCGCCTGCAAAATTGTCACAAAACAATAATCTTACAGATATAGATTAAAGAGATACAAACAGATACTGATACAATAGATTAAACTACAGATTCGATTATTTTCAAAAAGGTATGTTTCTTCGGTCAAAAAACTTCGTGAACAATTTCACGCCAGACAATTAATTTCCACGTGAATTTAAAAGTGATCACGCGTTCTTACAAAAAAGTGTGTCCTTCCACCTGAGCAAGTCTCATGAAAAAAGGACCACGGCAGCAAACGCATTTTCATTTTAAAACACATGATACGGTCGGTCTTTAGTGGCTTCTAGAGTTGATGAAAGTTTATATTGTTATATGAGTTCAATCGAAAATGCGCGATAGCTCGCTTAGATTAACAGCATAATTTGATTATTAAATATGATTTTTCTTTCGTCGCATTTACATGAAAAATCAAAATGATTTTACTACAAAAACACGAGATCTCAGGGGTGGATTTAGGGGGAGAGCGAGAGAGCGGACGCCTCCCCTTCCCCCCCCCCCCCTCAGGGATTCCAACCCCTGCCAACCCAAAGGTACTTTTTAAGAAATCCATTTTTGGCCGACCGTCTCTAAAATTTTTCTAAGGGCGCCTTTGGCGCCAAGATATACTAACTTAGAGGGGGAGCGCCCAAAAAGTGCCCAAAAACGGCCAAAAATTTGGCCAAAACAGCGTCTTTTTACTGCTTTAGGAGAGCTCGGAAAATCAATTTGGTCGACATAAAAAAGGTCGTCAACATTTTTTGAAAATCCGCCCCCCTCGAGAAAATCCTAGATCCGCCCCTGCGAAATCTGATTGTAATTTTATTAAAAGCTCATGGAAAAAACATGATTTTTTTTGCAAGATTTGTAGCACTAGTACCTAAAATTTTACGAAAACTCAAAAACTGAACTCTATGCTTCAGGTGGAACCAAAACGACCAAAACTTCCATAAATGAAAAATTTCATAACGTATTTGATTTTATTTTAATATATACTTCCATATAACAGAAAAACTTAATGAAATCTTTATAATTAACATATCCCCAATCATATGACTAGCATAGGATGGTTCAAGCAATCTCAAATCCCCCATCTCAAAGAGGGAGAGGGAGAGGGGGGAGATAACGTATTAAGTAACTCAAGCCTGTTTATAACCACTTCAACTATTTTTAATTGTTGAAACTTATACGCCAGACTCACCTCCAAACGCGGAGAACTAAAAATCATATCACATTACGAAAACTCAAAAACTAGATCCAAAGAAAAAATGGCAAAATTTGTCCGAGATTAAACAGGAATTTTCCTGTTTCGAATGAGGGCAAATGTAACCTTGAATGTGTTTTCATGGTGTCGTACTGTTTTTTGGCACAAGTAGAGGCCAGAGCGCCAATCCTGGTAATTTGCCTGCATCGAAACAATAACACATATTTGATTGTTTTTCCAAAAAAAAACTTTCTCGACCTTCTTATAAAAAAATATTGCGTCGGCCAATTGATTGCAAGCTAAATTTACATCAATCAATTGCTCTTGAACCAGTTAAACTCTACTTAGCTTGCAATCAATTGGTAGACAGATTTTTTTTGAAGACTGTTGAGAAAAACTTTCTGGAAAAAAGAAACAAAAGTGGTTCTGAAGATTCTTCATCTAAGTTAATAAACTAAATTTCCCCTACATTATAAGTCATAATCATAGTGTTTTGTATTCAGCTTGAACAATTTCACGATAAAATAATAATAAATCAAGCATCCTGGCCTGCTGTTTGATTGAATAAAGTTTATCTTATCATGAAAAAAGGAAACCTTGTGGCTCTACAAAAAGTATTCATTTTCTGTTTTTTTTTTCGGTGAAAATCTGAGCACCGATTAGAACAAAGACGAAAATATACGAAAAAATACAGAGTTACTTTTGATGAATCTTATCTCGGAAACAAATTGTTGGAGCACAGAGTTGATGGAGTGTTTTTTGGCATTGTGACTGCCATTTCAATTAGAAATGAGCTTTGATGTTGCCGTGTAACATATGATAAGATTAGTTCTACTCAGAAACCAATCCACATTATATTGAGACAAACAAGGTGCGAAAGATTTGCTTTATCAACGAGAAAATCTGTCGTTTGATAATTCGAAGTTAGAGTGTCGGATTGAGATTTAGAAAAAAAAACAGTTTTTCGTTTTTTGTTAATTGTAAGGTTTTCGAACTAAATTACTTCAACTCATTAAACGTAAGGAAGAAAGGCTTCTACTGCTTTAGAATGATTTGTTTTATAAAACTGATGCGTTAACTTAAAGCAGAATGCAACTTAGAATAAATGAAATACTTTCTTCACAGCCTTTTTTGCGCAAATGTAAGCGCAAAGTTTGGTTTATTGGACTTCGTAAGCCATGTGTACGTATCTGCTGCAGATCCTTTCAAATTTTAAAAGAGCTATCGTATCAATTGTTTTCTATAGATTTGTAAACAAGCAGATACCATATCTGAAAATAAAACTATGCCACTACTGAAAACAGTTTATATTGGTATCCAAGTTTTGCTCACTGAAACTCTTTGAAACTGCTCGTTTCTAAAGCTTTTTGAAAGCTGGTAAAAAGAAAATGAGTAAAAAGTTATCGTATCTTGTTTCTGAACTGCATTTATGGAAAAATTCGTTTACTTGGGCAATTTTGAGTGCAGCCATAGAAAATCAAAAAATATATATTTGAATAGCTCAGCAAGAATTTTATAATTTTATAAGTTTAGGGATTGCCAGGGTTTTCAATCCTGGCAATTCATTTGTGAACGAAGCTTTAGTTTGATTGTGTTTTCTTAGGATTGGTTCAGCAGGTTTTCTATGCAATTGATATAATTGCATCAAATAGTTCAAAAAAACCTCATCACCAGTTTCATCACCATTTTTGCTCTACTGTTTTTTCGTGGAGGAAATAGCATGCTGAAAAAACTGTGTTTGGTGCCATGTTCAAACACACTTCAAAAATTTCACCTTCCAAAATATTTGAATCAAAAATTAAGTTTGAAACAGTTTTTATTACCTTTTTAATGAGAAGTTTGAAAATGATTTTGTATTCATGGCAGAATTTCAAATTTTTGTATTCTTGTTTTTTGAATTGAAGGTATGTTTTTCCAAAAAATTGCAGATGTTGCTTGAACACAAATTTTGTAAGAACATATCAATCAGAATATTCAGCAATCCATTTTTGAATGCATTTTTTTCAGTTTCGTTGCCCGAGTTTTTCGATTTCATAATTGCTTTTTCAAATATCAACATGAAAGTCCCCACAAAAAACGGGATCCGAAATTTCTAAATAAAGGAAATGAGTAAAAAGTTATCGTATCTTGTTTCTGCATATGGAAAAATTCGTTATTTGGTTGTATTTCTTTTATAAAAATTCAAATTTTGATATTGTGATAAAATATAACATCTTATTTTTAAAAGTTTTGCCAGAGTAATGGTACACCAAAAGTGTAATTTAATTATTTATATATCTTATGGTTTATTGACTTTCTGAAAATAAAAAATCTCTAAAAAGGAGATATCTAGTCACACTTTGGTTCATATTAGTTGAAAAGTTCCCGCGGTAGCTGAAATAGAATTTTAAAGTTGTGCTGAGCTTTGTTAAGTTAAAAAAGATTAAATTTTTCTTTATCAAACAAAAAGCAAATCCACTCAAAAAGAAAAGAAACGTTAAAAATTTGAAAAGATTCGAAAACTGCTAAAACAGTTTTCCCAATTATCACATAAGCCAACGTCTATAAAAAAATTTTAAAAATGAGGCTTTCAGATGCAAGGTCAAAAAAGGGCAAAACATTTCAATTCATTATAACTAATTAATATGAACTTTTTGTATTACAAATAATTTAGATGTTGGGATGATTAACCAATTTTAACCTATTTTAATAGTTTCAATAAATAGATGGATTAATAATCAGTTATAATCAATTAAAAATTTTTATAATTGTTGATTTAATTTCCTTTTGAAAGAGAGAGGTTGAAAAATGATTTTGTATTGGTTTTAATTGATTTTATTCTGGTTCTATAAAAACATAATATAACCAATTATTAACTCTTGAAACTGGGTGCGGACAGGCTAAATATCAGCACATAGCAACAGCCCAAATATGCTTTTTTGCTGTGTCTTTTTTGATGCAATATATCAATTGGGTTACCAATTTGAAATACTGTTCTATACTATTTAGCACACGCACAAGAAAATAAAAAAATCAATTTTTGCTTCTTCAAAAAAATACTTCCGGACCTTCAATTGACTAATCTTCAACTCATGGCCTTGAGATTACAAAACATTTGAGCCACAATCGAAAGCGCTAGACTTACAATCCTCCTACCTCGGGAAGTTGGATCATTCATCACCCAACGGATCATCATCTTGTACTATCTTAAGCTATTTTTTTTGGTCGACCAATCCCAAGTTTTTCCTATCCATCGTGGATATTGGACGTTTAAGTCCCAAGAATGGCAATTCGGTTCATTTGCCCCAAAGAAACAGCCTGCAGAGCAAAAAAAAATGGCCAAAAAAGTAGTGACTGGTAAAAATTTCGGGAGAGCTCGAAAAAAAATCGGACGCAAAAATCGTGTTCGAAAATTTCTCATCTCCTCGCGAAGCTAATAGTTTTGTCTCTTTGCATCAAAATGAAAATTTACCAGCTATATCATTTGAAAAATGAAACATGTCATATTCAACGGGTCACTTTATCATATCACTTTTGTTTGCTGAGCAGTCACTAAGTCCAAAGAGTCCAAATTTTGTCTGATTTTCGCTTGAAGCTCTGCCATTTCTAATCAAAACAATTGAAACGTTTCAATGATTGATTGCTTAGCCAGCAAATATACAATCTTGTCAAATCACGGTTTATTTACTCTGATAGTGATCGACTTAGCAAGGTAAAAAAAACGGAAATGCAAGTTTAAACTTCTAAAATGGCGTTCAAGCTGCTTTTTCTAGCAGCTGTTGTTGGTTTCACTTTTTGTTCGGGTTCTGAAGCGGCAAATGATGATGGTTCCATGCCGACTGTGAAGAAGGACTCCTTGCATGATGGGAGTTCCCGGAAGTCCTATCACATCCTTATGGTTACAATGTGTTTGCGAGGACATTTCAATCCATCAGCAGGTTATGAAACCAATTTTATCTCGTTGAAAAGTGTTCATGAAATTGAGTCAACAGTTGCACTTTTTGACCAATGTCGTCTATCAAAAAGAGGTCCACGTGACCAAATGCGGTTTTGAGGTGGTTTGTTGGAATTAAAACTTTTCAAGATGTCATTAACTCCAGCCCCGCATCCCCCCCCCCCCCTCGCAGATGCAAAAGTAATCAAACGCAAAAAAGCTAAAATTTTAATAATTACCTCAAAGGCCAATTTACATTGCTTAGAAAACATGTAGAAATGAAATTAATCCAAAGTTTAGTTGAATGACTTGAATTTGCTATTTTAGCTAAAAAAAAACAACCATTTTAGCAAAAAAAAACACTCGAATTCACCTCTATCTGTTGGTTGTTTGCATCTACCCGGGCCAAGTTCAAAGCGATTTTTTTGATGCGACCGCGAGACGCAACTGGTGTATTACGACACTTGCGACTCAAAATGGATACGGTGCGTCAAGGTGGTACTGGTCAAAGTCTGGTTTATTGATGCCAATTTTATAGACCTGGCTTTTTCGAGTAATCAATTTTGTGATTTATTCGGTTTACCAGTCGACGAAACATAAAAATTACTCTCCTCTCGCTTTTTCTTTTCGATTTTTCGTGAGATTGAAGACCACTTGATTTTCTCTTGGATATTCTTATCTTGAGTGTAGATCAATGGCGTCGCTCTATTTGCCATGTATGTGCTCGGACATTAGTAGTAGTGCTGATTTAAATTAAACTGACCAAAGGCGTTAAAATTGAAATTTAAAACGCCTTTTTCTCAAATTGGGTTGATAGTTTAAGTGAAAACTTATGAAGACGAAATTTGCTTAACGTTTTAGTAGAATTAATACCGTGTAACTTGTTTTGCGAATAAAATACTATATATAACAACAAACTTTTATTTTAAAATAATTTTTAAACGGTTTGCATATTTTTTTTTACAGAATAAACCCTTCTTAAAGTTTGTTGGACTACGTAAGGGGCTCACTTTGATATAAATATGTCTGTGATCGACAGGGTGTTTTTGGCGTAATTCTTGAATAACTATGAAACGCCAAAATGACTCATTTTTGGGGTAAAATTTTTGGCCTGAAGTTCGCAGAACAAATTACACCATATTAATTCTGCTAAAATTTTAGGCAAGTTTTTTTTGGATAAATTTTCAATTTAACTCAACCCAATTAGAGCAAAAGGCGTTTTAAATTTCAAATTTAGCTCGTTTTGTCCGGTTAATGATTTAAATCAGCACTGTAATTAATTTAGGTGAAGAAACAGCAGAAGGCAAGATATTAAGCCACTTCAATTATTCAAGATATTCAGGTTTAATTTTTGTGAACATTTTTGAAATTGTCTTTTCAAATCGTTCTAGTTCTGTCAAATCTGTTTGCGAGGTCTTTGAGAGCAAAAACCATAGGATAATAGTTTTAAAATTAGTGGGTTGCTAATTCCAAGTTTTATTTGCTTTGTCATGCTGTAATCAACTTTTAGTCGGATACAACAAAAAACTTTGTTAGCTTTTCCTAGTCTTATCTCAAAATGACCCGACCAGGAAAATCCTTCAAGACAAAATTTCCTTTAATTCATTAATTCTTTCATTGATTTTGAATTTTCTAAAGCCTCTTCAAGCAGAATGAAGTCGTCCCATTTCATTTTGAAATCTATTTTTGCGCATTTGTTCTTTTGTAAGATACTAACAGCTTCAAGTCGTCTTCAAAAAAAAGGATCTGTAATTTTTCAATGCGTCACGGGGATCATTCATGAAGATATGTAATATTATTGGCTCAGGCAGCAATCCCTGTGGTACTCCACTTGTAAAACCCGAAGTATCCGACGAAGTGCGCTCTGCTCGTATAAATGGTTTTATGTTCTTGAGACACTAAAAAATTAATTCAAAAAACAGCCTCTGACTCGAATGAAACTAATTTCCGTGAGGAGTTTGTAAGTTGGAAAAAAGACGAAAGCTTAAAAAAGTCTAAAATTATAGCATTCACATGGTTATCGGAGTTTTTATAAACCGTATCTTAGACTTTCTTCAGGCCTCTCTACAAATTGGTGATCACTGAACTGTTCTCCACAAAACATGATGCCATTTCGTATGGAATATTATGAAGGAGCTGTAGAGTTCTGGGCTCATACGTTTTTTTGGAGGTTTGCTTACAAAATACATTAGTGGGATAGGATATGACACTAGTTTTCGACTAAACGTTTGCTCTTCTTCTAAATAAGTGGTATCTTTGCTAGCTTCTTTTATCGCGCATTTTCTCTATCTCCTAATGTTTATGAATATGCCATGCAAAAGCGAGGTCTTCGCACGAATTATGTGCTGGAGGAAATGGGCTGCAGACAATCAAAACTCCGCGGCATAGTTGCATCAAGTGTGTCAATGTAGAAATCTCCGATTTTTGTCATTGAGTTTGAACTTACTTTAAAGAGAGAAATCAGATTTGAAGTATTCATTGACCACTGTAATTTTTCTCCAACTGGTGGATCGTTTTCGCTGCATCATGATGGTGTTCATAAAATTTTTAGCTTCAGAAAGGGGTTTTGCTGTAGTTTTTGTTTCTTTCTCTAGACTACAGATTGCGTTTTTTTGTTCATGAGGTTCGAGGTATTGGCGGCTACCAGTGGCGAAAGAAAATGAGAAGTTCGGGCCTTCTGGGTACATGTTTTTTCACCAAGTCGTCTGAGTAATCGTAAATCTCTTCGTGCAGTTAACTTTTGTTATTGTGACACACCGGATCGAAAAATTCCCTATTTGTCATTCGTTTGATTTTCTTGCTGTAACAGTTTTACTAACAATAAAAAAAAACTGAAAATAGCTTTTTTAACAAGTTTTACAACAGCAAAACTTCTTAAACTATCAACTTTAGCTTTTGTAATCTGATGAGGACACTCAAGCAGCATGGCAATAGCCTTGCGGTCGAAGCAGTTGTAAATACGAGTAAATTTTTCGTTGAAAATTGCGTACATGAAACAGTTCTTGAAAAAATTCAGATCCAGGACTGTTATCTTCACATGTTGGAAAATTTACTGCTTGTTCAAAATGATGCTTTTCAAATTATTCAAAAGTTTGATTTTCTTCGTTGTCTGGCTACTTTAATCATTCCAAGTTGCGTTTGGAAATGTAGCATCCCCAAATAGAATCGCACTTGTTTTTGAAAGTTCTGTCAACTTTTTTCATGAAATTTTTTTGACAGTAAGGGTATTTGATGTTGCTAGAAGGCTTGTGAAAGCAACAATTAACTTTAATGTTGAAGTCATAAGTACTGCAACATGCGGGCAGCTTGATAGAAAACACTTCGTATGGTTATGTTTGTTTTACTACTGTTAATACCTCTTTGTGCAGATTTAGATATTTCGATACTGGTCTTCCAGACCTGAGTTTCTTATTAATTTCATTATGAAGCAGCTCTGAAGTTTGAATGTTTTTGTTCATTTAAATATCCCATTAACAGATGATGTCATAAGTCGTTGTCGCTAAAGGCCTTTGCAATTTTCAGTCTCCGTTCTGATTTTACTTGAGTTCTTACACTTATTTTCAAGATAACAAAAACAGTGAGATAAATTCTTCTTGTTCAGCTTCTTCTGCTACTCTTTTCCCGCAATTGAATCGCTCCAAATTTTGAGTTTTTATTTTTTTTTTGCAATTCCTTTGTTTGAAAATTTTTTTTCTCTTCAGGCATCTATTTTTAAAGCGTATTTTTTACTGTGCCAGGTAACAAATAGATACCGTCTTTCTCAAGCTCATCTCGCCTTACGTATCGTTTTGAAAACGCACGTTTCGTCGAAAGCGTTGATGCGCTTTTTTTCTCAATTTAGTAAACCTTTTTTATCCTCTGTTTGCGGTCTTACAGCTAGCAAACTTAGAACCTCTTCTGCTCTTTCAGTTGTGAAGACAACTTTTCTCCTTTTGATAATTGATATATCGGAATATTCTTTAGTTCCTTGTGCGCGAAAACTTTTTCTGATTTTGTGGTCTGTTTTTGTGTTCGTTTTCTTTCAGCGTTCTCCGAAGAGCCGGCTTTTTCTTGGCAGGCTTCAAACTAAGTATTTTGACGTCATTTATTTGAAAATCTCAAAAGTATTTTGTGTAGTTTTCTCCATTTTTTCATCAACTAGAGCCGTAAGCTTCTTTTTAATTATATCCATAGGTGCGCTTATTTCCAGACTTCCTGCACTGATTTTTCACTTATGTTCATCAGCTCCCTAATTTTTATGAAGTGGTCTTTTTCGTTGTTGCAAACACCTGTGCTGCATGGCCCAAGATCGTAATAAAAATTTAATCACAGAACCCAGTTAAAGCCTCCTGTGTAAGAAGTCTTGAGATGCATCTGAACATTACAAGCTACGCAGAAGAACGCTTTATCGATTTTTTTTTGGATTAACCGCTTTCTTTTTTGTCTTAACTTTTTTGTCATATTGTTTATATCCCGCAGATTGAAGTTAAAGGAGCAGAAGGATAGATTGACATCTAGAAGTAGTCAAAAATTCAACTTGATCAAAGTCTGGAGAAATAACCAAGTCCCGTCGCAAATTGAAATGCTTTCTTCACAGTTGACAACTTGTTTTTTTTTTCCTTGGGCTGCTCTTGTTTTTTGGAGATTGTTTTATTTTCTTTAAAAATTCGTTCAAGTTTCTGTTCCTACTTTGAATTATCGTGAGAGTTCGCGCTTCAAGGTATGTTTCTTGATGTAGTTCATTATTTTGTTCAAGCAACTCTTAGTCCTGTAATTGGTGTTCTCGGATTGTGATATGCTTTAGTCGTTGTTTATAACGTGTTCCTTATAATGTCGTGTCTGATGATGACTGATTTGTTACGCGTTTCATTCGAGAATTCGGATATAAATCGTATCCTTCATTGCCGATACCGTTTTCCTACAAGTTTCGATCTTCTCTTTTCTTCGTCCAATCTTCGAGTGACAAGAATAAAAAACTTGCTCCAGTGATTATTGCGATGAGACAAATTTAGAAGGCACTACAGTTACCCCCTAAAACAAACGTGAGATTTTTTAAAACTGAGTCAGCGCTAAACTTCGCTGTGAGTTCAACCTCGAAACTGGAAAACTTTTGAAAAGAGAGCTAATAAAAATGGGAGTAGAACTTTCTGAGCCAAAGAATAAAATTAAATTCAGGTAATTCAACGTGTGCTAGTCAACATGCAAATAACAATATTTTTTTTATCAATTCATGATCTCAAGTGCATTTTTGAAAAAAAGTGAAATGAAAATAAAATAGGAAAAAAGTTGAATAAATACTTTTTTCGATGTTTTTAAAGGGGCTGTGATTGTTGAAAAGAGCCCCAAAAATTTTATTGCTGACTAATATTCCAGGCCAGTTCCGAGCACTTGTGGAAAAAGGTCACAAAGTGTCCGTCTTCACAACTGACTCTTGCCCAGAACAGGTGTCCAAATACATGCCAGGTGCTGTCGAAGTGCATGAGTCTACAGTAATGCCGGACATTGTGGTTCCTTTGAACCCTCTAGAAGCTCTAATCAGTCTTCGAAACTACCTCCATGAAAGTGGGATCATTAACGCATACGAAGAAATAGATCGATTTATAGACAACTCCCCTCACAAGTATGACCTTGTAATTGGCGACACTCTGGTCGGCGGTACTATATTGGCGGCAAGAAAACATGGAATTCCGATTGTGAATGTTTTCACGGCTCCGCTTCTGGAAACTGCCAGGACACGCCCATCAGTTTGGGACAGAAACCAACTGCCAATCGAAGAACCAGGGGTTAGTTTACAAACCAGAAAGAAACTTCACAAATAACGGATCTAGAACAAGACTTCACAAATAACGGATCTTGCTAACTATCCATCCCCCTGTCGTACCTGGTAACGAGTTTCCCTCCTATTAAGAAAAAAAAGAACAATATAAAAACTCTGTATCTTGTGGTTGGAATTGTTAACAAGATCCCAATTAACTAATTGACTTAATCTCGACTTAAACTCGACGGCAAAAACAAACTCAACATTTTAATGTGTTGCCTTTCTTCATTAAGTCAGTATTATTTCAAAAACTGCATTTGGGATCTTGTTGACTATTTCCTACCACGAGGTACAGAATTTTTATACTGTCCTTTTTTTCCTAATAGGAGGGAAATTTGTGACAAGATACGACAGGCGATGGATAGTTAGCAAGATCCGTTATTTGCGAAGTTTTGTTCTGGATTCGTTATTTGTGAAGTTATGTCGAAAAGGGCGTTTGGGCCGCTGACATTTTGGTTTAATGAAACATGTACTCATAGTATTGCAAAACAGCACCCACAAATTTTCAGGCGGCCTTTTATTAATAAAGGAGCGCAGCAAAAGCAGTCCAATTCGTTTTAAAATATGTTTTTACAAAAAAAAAACAGATAGGGTGGTTTGACCAAAAAATAGCAACATAAATGTTTGCCTATGGGTTTCCGTATATCGATAAGCATGAACTTGAACTTTTTGAATTTCAGGAAGCCACTTCGTGGAAAGGGGTCATAGTTCCATCACTACTGGCCACACTTATGGAATTTTTAATTTCAATTCCCATACATCAAACGCTTGAACAAATTCATGCCCAAAACGGATGGGAGTCTGTTCCATATGACTATGGAAGATTCCATCTTAGCTATGTTCATAGATACTCGCTTCTACTGAGTAATGGAGCTGCACCTTTCACGAGAAAATTTGGAGAACACTATGAGAATGTAATATCGATTGGTGAGTCAGCAATTGTTCCAATCAATGAAAACCAAGGGGTGGGGGGCTTTAACTAATTTATTTCAACTAAACAACCAAACCATTGTCTAAAAAGGTAGACAACTTACCAATAGAAGAGCACCAACTTGATCAAGCGCACAAGGTGCTTCAACCTGCTCAATCGTGTTTCAAAGGAAGTTAGAAAGTTTCCAACAATTTCCGGAAGTCAAGAAAAGCTGCTGTTCTGAAGTATGTTATGTAAATATGTGCAGCAAGATTTACATTATTCGTTTGGGAGCTTATGCGCTTCATCCCCTCGCCAAAAAGTAATTGTTTGAAAAAACCAAAAAAAGTCTGAATTTTTCTTTCGTCATTTTTCGTTTTTTTTATAAGTTATTTGCACAATGATACGCAGTTACCCGGCGTCTTTGTTTTTACATAATGATGTCAAAGGATTATAACTTGCAAGGATGCTGAAGTATTGTAATATGATTTGTTCTTGCATTTCATTACTCATGCTTACAATAACAAAAAATATATCTCAAACGATTCACATCTCAAATAATCCCATGTTTTCAGTTTTTTAAGACTCATTATTGCCAATGGACACAAATATTTTGATTCGTGAACATCATAACAGAGCCAGACTGTATTTTGTGAACTGTAAATGGATTCGGCATTAGATTGAAAGCAGATTTGTCGCGGAATCCGCAAACAGTAAATTTTTCATTGATCATTTTGCTGTTTTTTTTTGTGGAAGAGCTCTCTTTATACGAACAATTAGTTAAAACACTATAAGGCTCAGATTTGATCCAAAAACAGTCAAACTTACGGAATGAACATGTTTTCATTACATTTTGCATTACAGTTCTGTAGTATGCGCTTTTATTTGCAGAATCCGCTCACAGTTTCCGGAATCCATTTGAGTCATTGCATTACACATTACAATTTTACGGAATCCGCTTGCTTTTGCGGAATCCAGAACAACTTCCCATATTCGCTCGTTGCAGAATCCGCGACCTAACTGATGTGACAGCTTTGGACCAAAAATTTACGCTTTTTTGGCGCGCGTTCCCCTTCTAATTCAATATATATAGGCGCCAAAGACGCCTTAAAAAATATTTAAGGTTGGATAAGACGAAAAAGAATGTTGTAAGATAGTAAGTGCCACAGGGGACCCCCTCCCCCCTCTAAATCCTCCCCTACCTATGTGAATGAAACTTGCTTACGCCGCAGACTAACCTTTCGAAAAAAAAAACATTTTGTAAAGAAAAATTGTATCAAAGAGGGGTCCAATGTTGCCCTTGCAAACAGATATTGAGATGATGTTTAACTGAGTGAGTCACTTCAATGCCATTTTTAAAAATCTAGGATACGTTCCTGATGACGTCATGTACCCTCCATTGACCCCGGAGCTCTCTAATTGGCTGAAGACAGCAGACCGTCCCGTCATCTTTGTCAGTTTGGGCACAGTCACTGTCATCGGGAAAGAAGAGACACGAAGCCTATTCAGTCAGCTGGAATCTCAGGAAAATTTCTATTTTATTTGGGCAGTCAAACCACAACAATTGGAGTTCTTGGAAATACGACAGACACGTTAGTTTAAAATTAGTGATGTTATAGCGCAAAATTAATATACGAGCTGGTTTGTCTATTCTAATCTCACAGGTAAACATATCGTTGCCTCAAAAAACTCAATACCTAGATTCAGATAACTGGTTTTCTACAAAAAACATACCAAAAAACCATGTATTCCAAAAAATGATGTCAAATCTAAACTGACTTCTTGCTTGTATTTGACTAACTGATTAAAACTTTTTGAATCTCTATCTTAAAGTCTTTCACTTGACGCGGCGCCAGCTCTATACTTCCATAATAGCTTTTTTTAACTTTAATCAAAAAAACTTGTGGGTCATTATTGGAATGTATATTTCAGCTTATGTCACAAAACATCTGTTTTTGGGACAGTACCTACCCCAAGGAAGCATCCTACAACATCCGAAAGTCAAACTATTTGTCACTCATTGCGGCGCAAATTCGGTTCTTGATAGTATTCACGCCGTTAAACCGATGATCACGTTTCCTGGTTTCGCAGATCAGCCTCTAACCTCAAACATTCTTATCAACCTTCGGGTCGCCAAACTGCTCAAGAAATTTGACTACCAACAAATGGAACTTCGAATTGAAGAAATGCTTGCTGAACCTAATTACTCAGAGATGCTTGGAAGGTTACAGAAAGTTCAAGAGGACCAGGTCAAACTGGGCGGGTACAAAGCGGGCGTGGAGATTGTCGAGAAGGTTATTGAAGGTCAAATTAAGGTCAACAAATCAATCGCTGCTGAAGATGTAATTGGATCGTTGTACACTCAATTTGCTATTTCGGTTTTGGTGTTTACCTTTGCGATTTTTATGCTTATATTAGTTCTCGTCTGTTGTTGCCGAGTATTGTGTTGCAGAAATGGATGTTGCAAGTGTTGCAGCCGAAGTGAGAAAAAGCAGAAAACACATTTAACAAAGAAGCAAAAATCGAACAAGGTCGACTAACACAAACATGAATCATATTTTATCTTATGAGTTAGGACCGAGTTGGTTAACTCATAGAGTAATTTCGGATAGGGTACACCGTCTGCTCGTCACGCTATCTTATTTTCGGCCGGATAGATTCGTGCAACTTCTTAGTCTAATACCGATCCTAATCTTACTCTTATACTATCTAGTCTCAGGTTGTTTAACTAGTCTCTGCTAGGCTCAATAGATCTAGGGTATACTGGTTTATTGCGGCTGCTGAAGTGCTCGGGAGAGTCCAACTAATTTCTAAGTTAAATTCAAATCTCTCTGGTGCTGAAATTACAAGTAACTTCAGCACTTACAAATAAGTGGGTTGTTAGTTAGATGGATCATGATTGGTTAATATTAAATACTTTACATTGGTAAAATATCTAAATTATCCAATCATAAAATGTAGTTTAGATCAGGTTCCACCCATCCGGGTTTTACAGAGTTTTTTAGAATAGTTCTTCTGCAATTCGAAGGATGGATGATGGAAGTTGGTGTTTGGCGAACATCTTATTTCTTCTGTTTCCTTTTTGTTAAAGAAGTTCCAGGAAGCTGGAGTTAGAGACATAAGACGTTGTGTCTTCTAGTGACAACGACTAAGTCTTCGCAACAAACTCAAATCTGATTTCAGAATGGTTGGCTATGTCAGGTTTTTCTGTTCTGCGTGGAGAACTTCTTTTGTGTCTGATCTAGTTTGGGAATGGCGTGGAGATTGTGCGTGGAGGGGATGCCTGGTTACTCGGATCTGTACGTATACTTGAACATCGAGGTGGTCATTGGTCTAGTTCAATGAAATCCTTTTCTGCGAAGTCAAGTCGTACTCTAAATCCTTTGAGTTGTGATTGTGAGTGGCATATCGATTGTGGTTGGTCATTCTCTCTCGAGTGTAGTGGGGTCGTTTTGTCTTTAGATGTTCGTCCTTGGTGTTGTATTCTGATCTATGTATTGCATAATGTAATTTACATTTTATAAAACATTTATTAGTTTAATATTTTTTAATTATGATTTTAGTTAGTTGTTTTCACAAAAGCTTTTTGTTTTAGTTCGGTTATTTTGAAGAGTTACTCACACTTGAGTAGCTCTTATTAAAAATAGAGGTGTGGTCACAAAGCGTGGATGTAGCACGGTGGGTTAGGCCGGCTATAGAGCATGCTCAGGACGTCCTTCCTGGTGGGTTAGGCCAGGAGTGGGAGTATGATTTCATGCGGTTTTTGTGAGGGGTCCTGTTATGTGACAACGTTTTATGTTGGGTTTGTTGTGGTTTTTCTTATGTCTTGTTGGTTATGTCCTTTTTCCAAAAATCAAATTGTTTGTGGTATGGGTTTGTCTTTCGACTTTTTTGTGTTTTATTATTTCTTTCTTAGACTTTATAATAGTCTTCAAAAGAATAAATTATCCAGTTTTAAACTGGGTTAATCCGGTTTGGGTACCGTTGGTTTCCTTTTCTTAGTCATGCTGTTATTCTATGATTTGTGGTATTTAGTAAGCTGCGTTGGTTAGTTTTGTTTAGTATATGATTCCTTTCCAACCGGGTTAAAGGAAAGTTTGAAACATGTTATTATATGTTAGAGTTGTTGAGTGTGAAAACTTGAAACTGAAATTCATTATTTTAAACAATTCTTCGTGGGCGAGCTGTGCGAGTGTAGATAGAATTTCTGTGCGAATGAATGAAAATATCAAAAGGTTAGTACTGCAATTGCATTTTATTAATTTACTGCATAGAATTTGGAAATTTACTGCTAGTTATTGGGGAATTTTAAGTTACCAATTTTCATTATAATTAGATTTACTGCTTGTGGGGAAAATTTTAGAAATGAATTTACTGCATTGGTATTAAATTTATAAATTTATAAGTGTAAGAGATTAATAGAATTTTTGAAATCTGTTTGATGAAATTTGCGATTTTTATTTGTCTTTTGTGGTTTTTGTAGGTGATCGTCGGATGAAGGCTAAAAATCTAAAGAAAACATGGATAAAGTATGGTGAGTTTTTTTTTTTATATTTTAATTAGTTAGTAATATTCATTTAATTCATACTTACCTGTTAGTCGTCGGGGGAAAAACCGTGGGGGAAGATGTCGTGAATTAGTTCTGAAGTTGTTAGTAGTTTAGCTAAGATGCGGATGATATTTTTAGTCTGAAGCAGTGGCCAAAGCAATTGAAGTGCCTTAATAGTGGTTAGTTCTTCAGTGCCAACTGCAAACTCATAAGGTGTGTTTTGGATTAGATTATATAATTTGTGATTAAATTTAGTGTTGTGGATGAATTCTAAAATTGGGATTTCTATAGGTTGTACAAACTCGTGCGGGATAAGGAAGGGTCGGGACTCTTCGGCGTTGAAGGTCTTGGTGATGGGACAGAAGATGTACATTTGGGTTATGGGGTCATAATTGCGAAGAATACCATGAAGGTTAGTATCTTTAATGCAATATGTGAAATTTAGGAAAAATGGTGAAGTGTATTTGGAATTAATGAATTGAAAACGATGGTGTGGTTGTCTAGAGGGTGTGTGTAGGTCAAAGTGATTTTGGATGAAGCGATAATAACTATATGTGTGGGTTTGTTTAGTGCGCAACATAATATCGTGTGAGCAGTGTAAATCTCTTTCGTGTGGTGCAAGGAAATGAAAGGTTAGTGAAAATATTTGGAAGCGTTCTTTAAAACTTTCGTATGCTTGTGTGTCTGTTAGTGCTTCTGAAATAATGTGATCAAACTTTCGGTCGAAGATGTTTAGTGTAAATATATATGGTGTCTTGATGAAAAATTTCTCAGTAATTTGTGGATTAGCGAAGCGATCGTCGTCTAAGAATTGATCTTGGTTAGCTCTGATGATGTTGTGATCATAGTATTCGAGTGTATATTCGTTAGCTCTAGGTGCAGTGTGTGTTTTTAGTGATTTTTTATATCCAATGTAAGTAAATTGTCTAGCGGTTAGTGGTGTAGTGAGTCGATATAGCATGTCCGTATTTCGCTCTATATCGATGTGAGTGTTAGATAAAGGTAAGCAAAGAGGGTTAGTAAAATGATAATATGAGGTCCAAGAGAGAGTGGGCATTAAAACGTATTCATCTACAAAGTTGCGTGTTTCGTTAGTGTCGTGGGGGGTGTTTAAGGTGTATTGTGGGAATGAGGGTAAGGTGATGGCTAAAAATTCTTTTGTGTTAGTATGCTTGGGGTGGTTGATGTATTCACGGGCTGTTCCTAGTTTTGCTGGGAAAGGATGGTTGGGGAACTTTCTTTTAAAAGTGCGGTAAGCTCTATTAGTGTTGAGTGAAGATTCAGTTGATGTGGATGATGGTGCTAATGATTCAGTATAATTTGAAGAGGGTGTAGGGGTAGGGGGGTTGGATGAATTTATTGTGGAGGAGATTTGGTTTATGGTTGGGGTATTAAGGTGGTAGGGTTGTTGTTGAAGGGTAATAAAATTATCTAGCTCTGGGGAGATTCGGGGGGTGTCTGGAGAATGAGATGATTGGTCAGAATGGTATGAGGAGTAGGTTGGGGTAACTTGGGAAGCATAAGAGGGTGTGGGGGTGATTGGGTCAGGGTTATTGGATAATATGGGTTGAAAAGGGGGTTGAGAAAAATTAGAAGAGTTATGAAAATTATTGGATGGGGATGGTTCTGAGTCGGCAAATTCATCGGGGGTTTCAATATTCGGGTTATTGAGTTGTGAGATGGAATATAAAACTGAGATGTGTGAATTAGTATCGGAATTCATGCCTGATGTTACATTACTAGATGGAAAATCGGGTGGCGGAAAAGCAAAAAGTGGTATTATTGGGATTGGAGAGGTAAGATTGGTTGGGTGGGAATTTGATCGGTGTAGTGATCCAAGTTGGCGGCTCATCGTGGGCTAAAAAAATGATTATTTTGAGACTGAAAAGCGGTGGTATGGGGTTGTTCAATAATTTGTTCATAAGTATTATCATCTTGTGACTGGTGTGTCATTATATGTTGGATGGGACTTTGTGATGTGGTGAGTCGAAAATTTGGATTATGTGTTATGGCTAAATTTCGAAAATTTCGTGGGACTAGGGATAGTGGATGGTTATTTGGTAGGGCTGGTAATTGTGGTGCCGTTGGCGTTATGTCTACATTGTTATGTTCTTCGTCGTATGTATTTTGTCGTGTTGCTATTTTTGTGTTATATTCTTTTATTTGTGCGTCTAAAAGAATTTTGTTTATAGATGTAGAAAATATTCCAAAAAATCCTGCAAAGAGTATGCGTGCTACACTTGCTTGTCGATTGACTTGTGTGTGTATAGCACATGTGTTGTAGATTCCTTTTAAAAGTGAGAAAAGAAATCCAATAAAGTTAAACATTGCGTATAAAATAGTCAATTTTTCTAAGATGTAGTAGGGCCATCCTAGAAAATCGAGGATCTCATTTTTGAGTGTAACAAAGCTAAAAATGTTAATTGGTGATATATCTTGGGGACGGTATTTTTCACCGTTTAGATATATATAATCTTTAATGTCTTTAAAATATCCGCTATAGTCTTGCGTGTAGATATCGGCAAATCCTGCGGTTTCTGCAAGTTTGCGTAAATTTTGGTCTATTGATTGTCTTTGTATAGTGTCCATTTGTGTTAATAATTCTTGGAATTGTTGTGTTCTAATGTGATGTTGAATATCTGATTTTGAATAGATTCCTATTGATTGTAAGTCTATATTTGGGTTTCGAGCAATAGCGCGAATGCTTTCTGGTGAAAATTTTTTGAGTGATTGCATTAATGTGGGATATGGAGTGAGAAGATAATATTTATTTTCATCAGGGTTTAGTTGTACTACATTGTGGCTGTTTTCTGATCCACATGGGACTGCGGTATCCCAGAAATAGGTTCTTCGTGAAAGTGTATCCACGAAATGTACTTTATTCTTATAAAAGATAGGGATTCTTTTATAACATCTTTTATCTTCAAAAACGTATAGTGGTGATATTTTTTTAGTACAAGTATAAAACCATAAGATGTTTCCTTCATAGTCTAAAAAATTTGATCTATTTCC